GGGAGCAGAAAAGCAACATCATGACAACAACAGTCTTATTCTAGTCACCCAGACAGATTCACTGATTTCTCAGGTCCTGAGTAGAGAGAGTCTGACTGGACGTTGTTACTGGGAGGTGGAGTGGAGAGGGAGGAGTTTGTAGCAGTCGCATACAAGAATATCAGCAGAGCAGGGAAGTGTATTTGGATACAATGACAAATCTTGGTCCTTAGATTGTACCAAAACAGTTATTCATTTCGTTACAACAGTATCCACTCCCGTCTCAGGTCCTCAGTCCTCCAGAGTAGGAGTGTACCTGGATCACAGAGCAGGTGTTCTGTCCTTCTACAGCGTCTCTGAAACCATGACTCTCCTCCACAGAGTGCAGACCACATTCACTCAGCCGCTACATGCTGGAGTTCGGCTTTTATATTGGAGACACTGCTGAGTTGTAAACTCAAATAGCCTGAAGTCATTGGAGGAACTCTTCTACTTCTTAAACTCACCGTGTGTCCATCAGAGCTGATTGTTCATGTCTTCACTGTGCAGAGATCAGCTGTCAATCAAACATGATGGGTGGCTTCAACATCTCTCATGAGTTGTTCTGTAATGTTGGACTTTCTTCCGGCTCCTTCCTGTGTCTGTGTAGCCATGGAGGCTGTCACTGCTCAGGAGGATCCTTGTTCACCTGAACTGATATGTAAACTTTGCTCTAAATATGTGTTGGATATTTCTTTTGATTCATGTTGTTGTTTCTCTTGTAATGCACGAGTCTTCAGAGAGAAAGCAGCTTCTTTTATTGTACACATTTTATTCTGGCCACTTTCTAAAACAATAGAGACATTTATAATCACATGTATTATTTTGACAGATTAAATGTTATTGTTGCCCAAATTAACTAACAATGAGTTCCCAGATGGTTATAACACTTATTTCATCACATGTTTATTTAAAATGATATTACTTACTGTCATGATCATAATCAATAAGTACATCATTTATTATTCTCCTGTAAATAGCTTAGAGTCTTTGCTTGGGAAATAAAATGTTTTGTTTTGTAGACTAATTGTTGTTGTTGTTGTTGTTGTTGTCCAAATAGAAATTGGGTACTCTGATGTTTTATAGAACATAACTTATCATGATAATAATCAATAATGAAATCATGTATGATTCTGTTTGAAATAGCTGAGATGAAACACATGTATGGTGAGGATAAAGTGAGACTGATCATGAAATCATTGATCAGACTTTACTGATGGGATGTGTGATCAAATGAAATGTTTGGATCATTAATAAAGGTTTGTCTTTCAAAAACAAAACAGGATGTTCTTCTTGTGTTATGTCTAAGGTGCCATACGAAGCTGATGGAGAACATGTGGAAGTGATCTGAGACTTTGAAGCTCAGCGCAAGTTCAACCAGGAAGACCGTCTTTACTCATTCATTTACTATGTCCATGTTACTACTCTCTCTCCTCTCAATAAGTGATCGGGGGCGTCACTCCCCAGCTTAACCAATCACTTCGCTCTATTCTCACAAGCCTATCATAGCGCTCCGCTAACCCTTTTAAAATCTGCTCTCCCCTCTGACAGCTGTCATTTCAGGTGACTCGACGCAACCCTCCTCCACCCCTTTTCACCTCCTGTCCCTCTGAGTCCAGGGTCAAGCTAAGCCCCTCCCCTTCAGACCGAACCCAACTATCCATTCACCACCAACAGGGTCAAGCTAAGCCCCTCCCCTTCAGACCGAACCCAACTATCCATTCACCACCAACAGGGTCAAGCTAAGCCCCTCCCCTTCAGACCGACCCTAACTATCCATTCACCACCACCAGGGTCAAGCTAAGCCCTCCCCTTCAGACCGACCCCAACTATCCATTCACCACCACCAGGGTCAAGCTAAGCCACTCCCCTTCAGACTGACTCCAACCGTGCCGCGCCACATAAGTGCGCCACATAAGTGCGCCACATAAGTGCGCCACATAAGCGTGCCACATTTTTCGGCTCAGTTGAGGCCCCCTCCGCAAGGTGAGGCCCCACGCAGTCTGCATGATCGGCCTGTAGGGAGGGACGGCCCTGCTTATTAGCTGCCCCTAACGTGTAAAGTTATCAAGCATTTGTACCATGCTTTTCACAAGTAGACTCTTGCAGGCCAGAGTAGCTGGAGTGAGTCAACAACAACAAGACATATCTGAGAAGTGATCAGGACGAACAGAAAGAGGAAAAGGAAAAGAGAGCACACTGGAGACCAGGAGGGTCAGAGAGCAGGAGGAAGAGGAGGAGATGAAGACATTAGTGAAGAAGAATAAATGTATGTGAGGAATAAAGATGAAGTGTCAGAAAGAGGGACAGAGGCAGGGATCAGGAGGCAGAGGAGACTCCAGCTGGACCACATGGTATGTTCTTATTCTTCTTGCATACATATTCCATCACAGCAGCACACATCTAGCAGCTCTTAGTATTGACACATATTGAAATGTGTTGCTGCACAGGTCACCTTTAGCTCTCTGAAGAGATGGGTGATGTCATTTGTGTACTTCATTTTAACTAAGTACTTTTACTGTAGGCTACTTACAGTAAACAGAGTTCTAGGGTATCATGAGTATTGAGCTGTTTTATACTATATTTGAGTTTGTTTGTCTGAACACCTTGTTTCTCTTGTGCATTAAGAACACTTGTGTTAGGGCATGATTTAACAATAAATAGGTTTTATATACAGTATAAAATACCACGTAGCCTACTGTCCGCCTCTCATGCCACCCTGGCATGACCTCTTGCCCCCCCTTTGCCACCCCGTGTAAAATGTTCTAGAACCGCCACTGACGCAAACACACTTGGACTGTGCAGCATTCTGAAACACACGGTAAATGTTGCAATTTCCAACAAAACGACATGGTTAGTGTAGGTTAAGATCATTGTTTGGGTTAAAATGTTAACATTAAGTTATGTAATTAGGTCAAGTATAGCGTAAACACATACAGTGTTGTGTGCTCGGCCACAGTTTAAATCCCACGGTTGACATTGTAAATTCAAACAAAACTTCTTAATTAAGTTAAGGCATTAAAACTACTTGGTTGGATGTTAAAAAATATAATGTTTTTTGATTAAAATAAGTAATTTTTTTCGGTAAATTAAGCAATCAACGTGAACCCTTATATACGGACGGTATTGACGCTCAACTGCAGAAACACACAGTTAACATTTCAAACTAAACGACTTTGGTTTACGAAAAGATTGATGTTAAGGTTAAAATAAGTAGGTACGTTAGTTATGAAAATTAAGTTACGCTTAGCTGTTGGTTGACTTTTAGACATGAGACACGAACAGCCGTCTCCTGAGTTAAAGCCTTGTGTAAGACTTCCAGAGATCTTGTTTGGAGCACTTATGAGTGTAACAGATACAATGAAAAACATATATTGTAATTCGAATGATAACAAACCAAATGAAAATGGGTTTTATGGCCAAAATACATGGAAGGAATGAAGTGTCAAAATTCAGAGGTAAACACAAAACAGGTTAAAAACTCAGTGCCATGTGCGTGAAACTTATAGTTTTTTATTATTAATACTCAACACTTCATTTTGTTCATCATGTACAAAGAGAAAGAATAGTCTTATTTGAGCACTTATAATCGTAGATATCAGTATTATCCTTATTAGAAAGTACCTTAATGATGTTTTTTGCAATTTGTCATGACGTGGTTAATTTTGTTATTGAGATTACGTTTCCATACAAAAAAAACAAGGTAAATGTCCCCCCCCCCCCCCCCCTCAATATTCAGTATTTACACAACCTGTACAATTATTTGTTTTTGTGTCGTTTTTCTGTTCATATGGTGTAAAAATGTGGGGGATTTATCTCAAAGAAACGGGCCACAAAAAGAAAAAAGAATGGCCGAGAATGTATATCATTATGTATACTATTCATATGTTACATTTGTCAACCCACAGTAAATGTAATCATGTAGTTTGTGTGTTCACATTTGGTGGCAACCCCTTATATGTCATTCAGGTAAAGCAATCTGTATAAATGACGACGATGGAAAATAGCAATATATTAACAAACAAACAAAACTGTACACAATTTAATAGAAAATTCTGTATGCATCAATATAAAGCGATATCAATACATATGAACACAAGTACACACAGGTTTAAAATATGCATTGAATTAGGGTTGAAATCATAAGCAGCTAAAATACATGGACCTTCACACAATCATGTAATATCACAGTATAATTCTTGCCATTTGATTAAGAAAAAAAAAACAAGCCGGTGGGATAAGCAAATTAAAATGTTAGAAATGTCAAATAATCCCTCCAAAAACACATAAAATGTTCACGAGTCAGTTTAACCGGTACATCGATCCCTGCAGCTGACCATTTCCTGCTCTTATTTGGTCCCGTGTGTCAGTATCGCTGAGGATGATCCCTCCCTACTTTTAATCGCCATTTTTTTCCTTTGCGTTGTAAAAATGTGACACAGTGTTTTGCTCTACACGACCTCACCTCCCTTTTTTTTTTTTTTTTAAAACAAATGCGTTGTGGCATGTTCGTGTGCAGAAGACCCAGGAGGGAAATAAAGATTTACTCTGCATCACGACCCCGACCTGCACTATCTGGCTTTAGAGCGGAGCAGCTGGAGGTGGTAAAGGCCTGATGATAGCATGTTTACCACAGTGTCAGGTGCACCTTCACTTCCCTACACCACAGCTGAAACAAAAAACTGGCCTTTAATATCGCTCGCCCTTGAAAGGCATGGAAAACAAAACCCAGGAAGTGATGACTTGGCACTACAGCGGGTCTTTTCACTGTTTGGTCATACCTGGTTATTGCAAATAAGGAAAAAATTGTAGGAGTTTACGTGGATTCATTTGTCACTTTTCAATCAACCCTGTAGACATGAAAGCAGTTGAGAGAAAAACAGAAGAGGGATGGAGTCCTTCTCTTCCGGGTCGGGGGGGGCATTATTAAAAAGACTTATGGGTTAGAAGTAGCAGAAGAAGAGCGGGGGGGGGGGAATAATTCCTGACAAAAATTGCATATGTATACAACAAATTACAAATGATATATCCCGTCTCGTACGAGAGAACAAGCACGGCACAAGTATAAATAAGAATCCAACGCTTCTCAAGTGTTTTTCATCTGTCAAATAATACAGTTTAGTAATATGAGCTGAAATATATTCCCCTGAAGCAGAAGTCTACATGAAATGACAGAACAAATGTTGCACCTTTTAATTAATAAGGGGTTTGCACAAATGCATTCAATAGGAATGGGAATGTGGCGTCACTAACGGCAAGTCGTCCATCTTTGGAGGATACCGGCGAATGCAACTTATTGACTTAACCTGTACGGCGCGCAAAGGAGCTTAACTTTTAACCTTGTAAAACATGGCGGTAGGCACTGTTATGTCACTGTAACAGCAACTCCTATGATCAATGAACAAAACAAAAACAAGGACCATGTGATTAGATTGTATTCCTTTAAACTAAAAGGCAGAGGAGGGAGACATCAGCAAGAGACGCTGAATTGTGTTCCTCTGAACTACAGGAACACAAACCACTACACTGTGAATATGATTTATAACATAATATATAGCAGTATACTTGCATATACCAGGAAAATTATGCATGAGATGCCAACGTTTGTTAGCATTTAGTTAGCATAGCATGAGTTGTCTTACCTCTGTCCGGTTGACTGTATAGTTTTCAATAAACCTGTAGATTTTGAAGGTCCGGTATCAAGCTGTTTGTAAAACTTGACATGGGCCTGTAAATATTTAATATTCTTAATTTACCGACAGGTTGTAGACACTCACTCCAAACACCGACATCAATAACAGTGATGTGTTCATCTTCTTCTCTTAATTCATAAGTCACAGATGGCATTAATTCACTTTATTTTGTAAAATAACGCTCCTCTGTTTCTACCTATAGTTTTGTATTTATAAGTCGTTAATATTTCACGCCATACTTTATTCATTTTGGATAAAAAAAAACGCTGACAGGTGACTAGGAAACGCTGATAGACAGTATATTGGCGGCTGCTGTTGTTGCTACGGACGCTATCCTCCAAAGATGGCCTGCAATGCCCCAGAATGCCACCCTGTTCCCCTTCCCTATTGGGTTCTCAATACGATTACTCGCTCGTGTTTTTTCGCATTAATATTGTGCTGAAAGACTGCAGCGTTCAATGTGTGTGTGTGTGTGTGTATATTCTTTACCACAGTGATGTCTATCCCAAACAGAAAGAGAGGGAACAGGATAGGCCGGGGCCGACAATGGCTCTAAATTCTGTGCAATCACCATCAGAGCCCAGGTAAAAAAAAAAAAAAAAGCGGGCAACAAAAACACAAGTATCTGTTTTGAACTGCCTAAAAATGAAGGATCACAATATACTGCCTCTATATGCAAATATCATCTATGTATACATGTAATATTGTATTCCATAAATGTGTAGATAATTGAATTTATCTCAAAAAGCATGAAGAAGAGCTTACCTTAAAAAGAGAGAATCTAACACAATTCAAGGGAAACTTAGCAAAGACTCCTAAAACTAAACTTTCCCCTTTTTATCACCAAACGTCTACACCTACAGTAAAGTATCCTCCCATTCCCAACACTTTAGAGAAAATATGAAAGAAAGCATAATTCTTAACATAATCAGTATACTGATTGGTAAACTATTATAATTAAATAACATGAGATTCAAGAAAAAAGAGGTTCAATTATATCACTTATGATTAGTAATATTTGTGTCTTAACTATATTTTGCATATTTTTATTTCAGTAATTTTTCTGTTTTTTTTTTAAAGAGTTTTTTATTGTGGTTTTATTTCTTAAATTGCTGTAAAACATATTGAAAGTTACATCCTGTCTGTCTGTTTACTGTACAAGTGAAAAGAGTATTTTAAATAGATTATTTACAAGGAAAAAGATTGAAACGTACAAATGCTGACGCTGATTGATGCCCACACACCGAGGTCTCTCTCGTCCGCTCCGTCTTATTTCCTCGTCGTTTTTATCCCGTTATCCTTCTTTTAAACCGTCTCGCTGACAATAGTTGAAACCTGAACTTTCAAAAATGTGTGCGTATAAAAATTCCAGAGATCCCAATCTATTTATTAGGAGAGTCATGGTGGAGGGGGGGTAAGATCTGTTTGATTTAAGGCTAACTCGATCGGTCTCATTTTGTCCGTGTTATCTGTGGAGCAAGGGGTTGAACCTATGAGCAGTTATCAGTCGCGAGAAAAAACAGCTGTTATCATTCAATCGTGATTTCCCTCCTCACACACACATACACACACACACACACATACACACACACACGCCAAACCTCTTTCATTGATGCATTTAGAATAGGGGTTATAAGATGACAATAGACCCTCTGCGCCATCTTCCCGCAGCCCTTGAACTTCTGACACCGCCAGCTAATCGAAGATCAAGCCTTTAAATACAGGCTTCTTTATTTGTACAGTAATGTGATGAGTCATCATCAGACAGCTCCAGGTGGGAAGGGGGGGGGGGGATGATAAGGCATGTCTACTGAGTGCTGAACCTACACTGAGTAAAAAGGTCCTGTGCAATAAATGAGGCCTCTCAAGCGGAAAAAAAAAAAGACCATATCTACATCAAGATTTCGCAAGATGGCCGCCTTCCGGTACGCCTCAAATAGACACCTTCCTCAGCTCGAGCTTTAACGGGGCATCATTGTCGCAGGAACACATCTCCTACACGTTGTTGCATTTCGCCAACATAACAGTGCATATATTAATCACACACAATGTACAAACAAAGCTTTCTGTAAGTGGAAAGTAACGCCTTCAACGAGATACCGGTTGAGAGGCCCAAACAAGAAAATCAATAAAGAGTGCCCGGTGACTGTTATCATGTAACCTGAATAAATAAGTGGTCTAAAGGCTGCCGTGTTGTGAAGTGAGACGCTATCCGTGACATCCTGAATGCATTTTGTACGTAAAGCGCTGCCCAAACTCGCCGTATGAAATATTTTTTACGAAGTTATAAAACGTCTCTTGTAATCGAAACCTTCGGCTGCAGCAGCGCCTCGAGCCTGATGTCAATTTTCACTGCAGTTTTTTTTTGGCTCATACACGAAAAGAGATCAGCCTGAAAAACATGCCGGTCCGTCCCTGGTTTGAACCGGAGGACACATCCACTGGAGACCATTAAGGCACGTCCTTCCTCTCGGTATCTTCGGCTTCGGGACGTCGTTCACAGTAACACAAGTTACAAGTTGTGTTTTAAGTGTGTGTGATTTGTAATGTCTTGAAAACATCTGTCAGCTCTAAACGTGTCCAGATCCAGTTACTTTCACAAGGAGCAAATAAATGTATGAGCATGGCGTAAAAACAGAATCAAAAAGGAGTTAAGGTCTCAGTCTTTCTGGCTTGTTGGTTGAACTTAACAACCGTCCTGCTTGCACACAGGATTACAACTACAGATACTAAAACAGTAGTGAAATATTATAACAACAGAACATAAACAAGAAAAAACTTATCATAAGCAGTGTTATCATAATCAGCACTAACATCTTTGTTATTCACAATATTATTATTGTTGTTCTTATACCCTGTTTTTTTCTATAAGAATATCTTATTATCATTCATGATTGTATTTCTCATAGCAAACAAGATCAGCTCTTTTGGCGTCAGAGATGAGGAGGAGGAGGAGGAGGATAGGGGGTGAAGAGATAAAGGATCGCAGCTTGGGGGTAAAACATGAAAATGTCTCCTTTCTGCGGTGAAACGGCGGCAGATGGGCAGCTCGTTCTCGCAGTTTTTCCTCAAGAGCACTCAGCGGGAGATCTCTCAGACAGCCATCGCACCAGACAGTCCAATATCAAACTGAGATGAAGTGTCACCTCTCTAAGAACATCGGCTTCTGCCTCGTGAAATGACAGGCTTGGAGTTGAGTGCGTCTGCGATGTTAAGGGGAATGTTGATTGACTGTGTTTGGACATAAAAGTAGCTTTGCCCGTTACTGAGAGAGAGGGTCCCACAGCTCCACAGGGTGTCCGGATTCTTTTACCCAGATTTGACCCATTTCAATTTCACAGCTCTCTCCCCTTTCACCTTGCTGTCCCAATATGGGGCTAGAGTTGCAGTGTGTCGGACAGTGTCTGTCAAATCATCCCTGATCTCCGAACACAACACGCCTCGATTTCCTCCCTTCCTCCCCCCCTCGCCCATCGTCCACTCCTAACTCGCCAATTGTCGATCTCACACGTCAGACTCAATGCTGGACAGTTTCTCGTACACATGGCCATTGCTTCCATTGAAGGGACGCGGGGGGCCGACCCCCAGCATGGAGCCGTGGTGGTTCATCCCACCGAGGCTGAGCTCTTTTGGGAACCGGGGCGTCACGTTGGACATCACCCCGGCCGTGGCGGACGCCGGCAGGTTATGACGTCGTGCTCATCTGGCTCCTGAAGTCACTTCGGCTTGGTTTGGCAACTTGCTGCTGCTGCTGCTGCTGCTGCTGCTTTTTCATGTAATATTGTTTGGCTCCGTGCATCAGACACTGGTCGTCGCCAAAGGTGGGTATAAAGGGGTTTTGGTTGACCCTGTCTGGGTAAAGAGATTTGGAATAAAGAGAACCCTCCCCCGCCTCCTCCCTCCATCAGAGACCTGTCCCTGTCTCGCATGTCTCTCTCTCCGATGGAGCGGCGGTGAAGGCCGTCGCCTCTGAACAACCGAACGGTGATCCGGGTCGTTTGCGACCCTCGTAAAACAACGGGTCCCTGTCTCGTTCCCGTTCTCGCCTCCGAGCCCCCGTTGGCGCTCGAATATGTGTGCGAAGGGGCTGGTGCCCTCCATGTAGCGCTCTTTCTCCTTCAAGCTAACGCTCCTGGGTGGGGGCAGCATCCCTCCCATCACTTGGCTCCCCATTCCCCCCCCCAACACCTCCCAGACCCATTAAACTGCCCATCCCGCCCGACTCCTCTTTCTGAATGTCAACAAAAGCGTCGTACGAGTGCTGCCGCCTCAGTGGTTTCCCGAATCCTCCGCTCTTCCTCCTCTGCTGGCCCTGAGATTGAGGGCCTGGGCCCATAATTCCACCTCCCCCACCAACGCCATTCCCTCCCCCCATCTGTTCCAAGAGGTGGTTGTTGTCCTCGCTGATATCGTAGAGGTTTCCTGTCCTTTTACAAACCCTCGCAGCGCATGCAGGTCGCAGAGCTTGGGCGGCTGTTACCCTCCGCCTCCCGACGTCCCACAGCTCATACCACCACCGTACACACCCGCCGTGCATCGACATCTGCTTGCTCCCCCGCTAGCCCTACAGTTCCTGCCACTCACCACTCTCCCCCTGCCAGCCCAGATCCTCCCACACCACTCTTTAAAATCTGACTTTTTGGGTTTGCTTTGACTTAAGAAAGTCATCCACTGGAACCAGGGTGGTGCAGTTGCCTCCATCTCTACTCCCAGGGCCTTCCGTCAGGTCACATGTTCCCACTGAGGAACGCCCTCTTTGGGCCGAAACTGGTCCCAAATAGAAATCCCTAACGCTTTCCTTCTCTCTGAACATGTAGTTCCCGTCGCTGTTCCCACTTAAGCCTCTTCTTCCGTTCTGGGGCAGCAGCGGTGGGGAGGCGGAGCGGTGGCCGTGGTGTAGTGATGGGTGGCTGATGTGGTAGGGTTTCCTCCGGTAGCCCAGCTCGATCTCGTCCAGCTCCCGTCTGGACTTGGCAGAGGCCGGCCTTTTCTTCAGGCTATCGCGGTACTGTTTGCGTTTCTTGGCGTTACCCTCCAGGTTTCCGTAAGTCACCGTGTGCGTGGATATATCCGAGACGTCCGACCGTCGATCCATATTCCCATCGTCGTCTCCTCTACCTCCGCAGTATCCGTGACCGGGGATAAACGTGGAGCTTGAGGCGCCTCCCTTAAAGGAAAACTTCCCGTAAAGGTCTGGCAAGCCTCCCTTAAAGCTCTGCCCTGAGGGAGGAGTTTGTCCGGACAGCAAATCAAACTTGCTCATGTTCCTGTGGGTCAATGCCGAGCAGGGCTGGGTGGTGAAAATAGGCGCCACCCCTCCTCCAATGCTCTCACAATCAAACATCCCCCCTTCCAGAGAACTTGCGCTACCCAAGCTATGAGGCCTGGGCGGCGGCGGTCCGCTGAGCCCTAGCGTCGAGCCGTGGTGGTGCAGGTAGTGATCCTGGTACAGATTGCTGTCCTTCAGGTGGAGGTTGCCAAACGTCCTCTCCACCTCGCTGATGTAGTCGCTGAACATGTTGTCTTCCGGTGGGTACGGCGGCTTGCAGTCTGAGTGTCCCGCCAAGCTGCGCCGGTGTTCGGAGATGTCGTAGACGGAGGATTCGCGGCGGATGAAGTCCAGCGCGCTGTGGGGCGATCCGTTCACTCCGGACAGGGACGCCATGTTCTTGGCGGTTCGTAGGAGGCGCATGATGTTGGAGTGGGTGTTGTTCATGGTGGCGGATGGGGAGTTCAACGCCGAGCTGTTGCTCTTCTCCTCGATCTGCACCCCGTGGATGCAGCTCCAGATGCCCTGTGGGGAAACACAGGCAAGAGGAAGCATTAGGGAGGGAACATTCTGTAAATAGTGTACCAATATTGTATTATAACGGCACAAGACGTGGATGTGACGCGTTTTTGTGTGCATGTAAATGGTCTGCAAAGGCTACAATCCCTGTGTTAGACCTTCCACATGCTCTATGGTCAGTGTAGGAGCTATAGTTGGTAAAAATGGACATGATTTACTGTGTATTGTGAACGTATTTTGAAGAGTGCAGCTGCTTGCCAAAAACACGAGAATGCAGCTGCTTTGCATCCTGACTGACGTAAAGCTAGTAGAAGCTCTATTTCACTGATTCTGTCAATACCTTACTCAATACATCGGTAAAAACAGATGTAACGTGTGATTTATAGACAGTAGCGTGTTGTACATTAGCTGGTGTGCAAGTGAGCGTACAGTAAGAAGATTCAGGGAGGACAGTGTGGCTGCACGGCGGATGATTGATAAAGGCAAAGGGGCTGTAAAAAGAACCCTGGGTCCTGCTGGTCAATACCTTTAATCAATGTGATTAGAATTCAGCTGAACAATATCCTCCGGTAGTTATTAAACACCTCAGTTCCACTGCGGCGAACACAATCTCCCTTTTCGAAAGAGAAAGGCTTAACCAAGGAGACGGCGGCTGAGCGTTACAGTGGCAGAAAGACAAACGGCTCCATTTGCATTCAGTGATGTACGATACAATATTCAGATACAAATGGATGTACAGAGGAGAGCAAACCAGGCATGACGGATGGGGACGGTGCAGCATCAGATCAATTCAAAACAATGATTTTGCTCAGTTTTTTCTGGACGTCTTTAGAATGAAACAAAGGGATGCTTTCGGTCACTTTTAAAGGTCACCTATTATGCAAAATCCACTGTTTCATGTCTCTTCTACATCAACATGTGTCCCCTCTGAGATTCTGAAAGTTTCAGGAACAAAGATTCTCTCTCTTTTTCTCCTGATCCATTTCTATAAAAACCTGTCTGAAAATGAGCTGATCAGATTTTGGCCACTTTATGATGTCATAACGATGTTTTGGCTTGTGTAACCATTAGCAACCAAGGTAACCCCCCCCCACCTTATCACCTGAATCTCCTCCTAGAGCACCATTGTGTTCTTTTTAACCAAATATCTCTCAGAGGGGCGTGGGGAGGGGCTCCTTATTTTCATCTAAAGTAACAGACAGAGAATCAGCACTTTTGAAACAGGGCTGAAACAGAGGGGATCATGGGTAATGCTGCAATGATCCGTTTGGTGTTTCGAGGCCAAACACTTCAGAGACATGTTTTGTATATATCTGAGACCTAAAATAAAGTAATGAAAAACAGTCTAATAGGGGACCTTTAAAAGACCAGCTGACCTGCAGATGCAGAGGTCAAGACAAGAGGTCAGCTGGCTGTCAAATCTTCTCCGCTGTTAAGCTACGACTCCTTCAAGCATTCACCGTTTATCCACTAATTCGACTCGTTGACCCTCTGCGCTCCTTTCCCTAGTTTCTGCTAGTTAATTAGCGACATGGACAGTGCCTGCATTGCAGTTAAAAGAGGCCTTCATCCTTCATTCCGCTTTTATGGACAACTGTATTACTTCTTACAATTTCACAGTCTGTTAACACCCGAGTATATCAAGCCGGACAATGGCTACAACTTAAAGAAGTTCACATAAACTGAAAAGACTTCAGAAATATGGGTTTTGGATGAGAGTCTTGCAGAGGAGGACAATTGAATACACCAAACCAGGTTTTTTTTTACCCACTTAGATCCATATTTCAATGTTTATCTTGTGTTTCTCCGTCTCATCTGTGTTTCCTTCCTCCATCTGCCTGTTGATATCATTTGTCATCACTTCAAATCTTTTGTTTCCCTTCTTTTATTGTCTTGATTACACCGCACCTGCTGCCACAGATGTCACGTCTCTTCCCTCTCATGGCATCTATGACAACAATCCATTTCGGTCAGACTTTTCCAGAAGCATCCACAGTCATTTTAGCAAGAGATCCCCCATTCAGCATTGACAGTGTGCACAAAGCAAGTTCAGGATGAATATCTTTTGAGGGGTTCAAGCTTTTTCTTCATGCTTTCATGCCGTGATCCACCAAACTCCCCAAACTGCTATATATTAGCTGCCCACTGCTTCTAGTACAAGGACCAGTTCAATTCAGATACCACATTTTGCAGTGTGAACATGTGTTTGGTTTAAATAAAGAGGGGTTTCATTCGCATCCTCCATCTCTACTTAATTGAGGAACAAAGAACGGTTGTACATTACATTCTTGGGCATTTAACAAAGAGATTGCTGCTTCGTATTCAGCAGCAGATTTTGTCTACCCTACATGCCCACAGAAAGTAACAGTTGGCAGATTGCTGCCGGGCCCAGAGCTACAGTCGCTGATTATTTGGGCAGGATGTGTGAATAGCAATAACTGTGGCCTGAGGGTTCGTAGGAATTTTCAATCCACCGGGGGATCGCAGCAAAATCTATAAGTGATTACACTGGTACATAGAGGCAGGAAATCAACAAATAACTAGCTGCAGCTGTAATGTACGATTGCATATAGAGTGCCTTTTGTACATGCTGTTGCTAATCATTTCTGTAAGAATATGGCGCCTAATGCGAATGAACCGAGGGCTGAAAGAAGGAGCGGTTAAACCTCTAATACATTTACAGGTCTTAAGTCATTAGGGGCTTTTTAAATCGATATAATTAATTTGTCTCAGTGTTGCAGGTGTGTCCTGTGGAGCAGTTAGCCGGGGGGGAGGAGGGGGGCGGGGGGGGGGGGGAGGAGGGGGACGCTAACCGGGCATGAAGACCGTGACGTGGCTCACGCCAACCGTGACAGATGTCTCATTTTTCACACTCCAGAGCTTAAATGTTAATTGCGGGCAATAACAATAAAGTTTATTGGATTATGCTGTGAAATTAAAAAAGCAGAATCAGGAAAGGGAGGAGGGGGGAGTGGGGAAATGTATAACTGGCCTGAGAAAATACTCGGGACGGAGACAATGTGAGGCATTGGTCGAGGAATGTGGGAAGATAATAACACGTCATTTCCACCATTGTTTTTTGCAATTCCTGCTCAAAACACAATGAGAAACATATTCACCAACGTTTTCAAAAAGCACTGCATAAACTAAACACTGCAAATATCATCACTTTTTTGTGTCCCTTTTGTCATTGTGTTAAGAGCTTTTTGCAGCGTTTTTTGTTGTTGCAGTGTTTCGTTTATTCAGCGCTTTAAAGGGGACCTATCATGCAAAATGCACTTTTGTACGTCTTTTATACATGAATATGTGTCCCCGGTGTTCCAGGGAACTCACCAAGTGTCAGAAAACACAACCCTCTCTATTTTCCTCCATACCCAAATCTCTAAAAAAGGGGCTGCAACGGATCTGATAAAAACTGATCCAGATTTGAACACTGTCCTGACGTCAGGACGGTGGCGCTACGGCTATTGGGCCAACTCCACCAATCAGGAGGAGACAGCCACGGCCATTGCCGTTCGAAAGCGCTGGAGACGCTGTAGTACATATGCCAGGCCTGTAGGTGGTGCTGTTCTCACTGAATCTGCCCTTGCAAAAACAGAGCTAACATTTTTCAAATTGAGCGAAATGAGGCATGGCTAAAATGCATGATCTGTTTGGTATTTTGAAAAAAAAAAGTATAAATATGCCTTATATAGGTATGGTCCTACACTATATTATTCAAATATAGTATGATAGGTCCACTTTAAGTAAAGAAGCGCATATTTCGTCAATTTGGTGAAGATGTTTCTTCATTTTCATGTGCTTTGGCTCATTTGTGATTCCATATTTGCATTGTTTCTTAAACTGCCGCACGTTTCTCCATATGAAAATGTTTTGGGCTGTTTGCACCTGTCGGCCACCCTAAGAGCTCCGTATGCTTCATATGCAAATGAGCACTTGATGAATATTTCCCCTGAATAAATCTGAGTCGTCTGGTTGTTATTTTGTTCATTTGTCGAAGGTGATGTCTGTAAATGGGAGCAATCAACCAATGTTACACAAAAGCATAATTGCTTTCCAGATCCAGACCCCCATTCACAGTGTAATGATGCAATAATCAAAAACAACACCAAGCAGCCTGTCGTTTGGAAATGAGAAGACATTTTTAGCAACTGATATCTCACGCTCCTTCTACACAAACAGACGCAAGCATAAACAAGGTAACAACGTAAAATTAACACTGTACAAAATAATCAAAGTTGGGCACTGGAGCGTAATATTAGAGCAGGGAGGGGGGGGGAATGTTATGTTAGGTTTTTTTCTGCTTTTCTCTCTTGGTACAAGCAGCCCCGGTATATCAAATGTGTGTGTGTGTGTGTGTGTGTGTATGTGTGTGTGTGTGTGAGTGTGAGTGTGAGTGTGAGTGTGAGTGTGAGTGTGAGTGTGAGTGTGAGTGTGAGTGTGTGTGTGTGTGTGTGTGTGTGTGTGTGTGTGTGTGTGTGTGTGTGTGTGTGTGTGTGTGTGTGTGTGTGGTGGGCTGTAAATTAGCCACGTGGTTTAGCCCGCAGCGGTTCACCTTCAGAGGCAGTGAATTACACCGGAGCCATGTCAAAACAATTGGAATGCAAATCAAATACCTCGGGGTGACTTTGGTCTCCAGGGATCCAGTAATCTACCCTCTCCGGTTGTGTGGCTGATTTTTGTTGAGAGAAATATTGATTTTGGCTCAAGATTTTGTAAATATTTACCCCTGCGGACGTCAGAAAGGCCTGACCGTCGAAACAACAAGGGAAAACAGCCCCCATGTCTATTTGGAAGTGACGTTTGGTTACAGACGTGATGATTTAGGGACGAATAACGAAGGTCACTTTACAGACAAGGAGGAATCAGTGTCACTGAAGTAAATAAATAAAAATGTGGTTGTTTTGTTAAAGTGGCAATAGACCACGTTTTTACTTGACATATCATTATGTAGTTATTGCACAATGAAATGGTTGTAGAATAATGACACCATCTGCAATTATGGCGATTTTTTAGTAGCATCTCTTCCATGTAAATCTGTCTAAACCTTGATTGCAACCTCCCTTTCAAAATAAAAAGCCCAGGAAATAAACACATGCATTACTGACTAACAGACTTCATTTCATTTTGTTTGTATTCCATACTGGTTTACTCCCTTTACTGTTATAGCATTAGGTCGCATTCACACCTAATAGTCCGTTTTCAGGTGCGCACCAGACGACAGTTTGTTACATTGTTACATTTTTCAGAAGGTTCGGTTTGCGTTCACACGGGCGAAACTCAAACGGACTATAAACTTTAAACACAAGTCATGTGCACGGAAATGCTGTTCAACCATTGGTCAGACATTAAGGGGGTAAAAACGCAAATCCCGACTATTTCTACCGGAGCCTCCGCCATGGAGCATCGGCAGGTTATTTTCATGCTGCTGTTAATCTGGAGAGCAACAGACTCTAGCGGCCCGCGCATATGATTATATAATCAGACAACGTCCGTTAAAAAAATTATAACACATAATGAGAGACCTTCTGCAGTCAGGGGGAGGTTTCAGACGACAGGTGGCTCTGACTTTCATGTATAGTTGACGGAGCATTTTTACTGTTACGACACTGTTCAACACTTCATTCTGCTTCACTCTTTAACTAAAGTAACAACTGCGGATGTCTTCAAACATTTTAAGACATCCGCGTTCTTGTGACACGTAAATACTACACTTCCTATGTTTTGGTGCGGACTGCGTTCACACCAGCGATGAACCGCTCCAGAGTTCACTAGCAAGCGCTCGGAGACCACCTCTTTTAGGCGGACCAGAGTCCGGTTGTTTAGTTCACTTCACAGATCTCGGACTGCGTTCACACCGACCCAAATGAACCGCACCAAGCGGCTAAACGCACCAGGGTTCGATTCAACCGGACTCTACGAGGCTGGTGTGAATGCGCCCCACTCTATTTCATCACATTTTGCAATATATCTTTTGTCTTCTCTGTTATTTTCGCGCTTGTCAGTCATCTGAGAGGAATGAAAACATACATGATGAAGCTGAGGTCCAGAAATGTTGACAAAATGAATTAATAAGTCCTCAATCAATCGAGGTTTATTTTTTATAGCACCTTTCAAACTGTTCCAGGTGCCATACTGGTTTACTCCCTTTACTGTTATAGCTTTGAACTCTATTTTATTACATTTTGAATTTTCTTTTGTGGTCTTTTCTGTTATTTTAGCACCTGTCAGTCATCTGAGAGGCACCTGGAACAGTTTAAAAGGTGCTATAAAAAATAATCCTTGATTGATTGATGATTTATTGATTAATTTTAACAACCTTAGTCGACCTTCATCATGTCGGCCCCTAATTTATTTGTTGTTTTGTCTGTCTGACTGTTTTTGTTATTTTTGTTTGTTTTACTTCAGTTTTTGTTGTGTCTCGTCAAATGTGTTAGTTCAGTCAGACAACTCACGTGTTCTTAATATGTTTATTAGAAGCAGCATATAGTTTGAGTTTGGCGTCTAGGCTCGGGCCTCATCACTCCACAGATTTACAAAGAACATTGAGTGATGATTAGATAACTATCCCCCGAGCCTACAGGTGGAAGCTGGGGTGGTGGGGGGGCAGGCAAGCAGCAGCAACATGAAACACAGCAGCAGGAACATGAACGTATAGCAATAGCAAGTGAACACAGCAGTGGCAGCAGCAGCATTAAGGAGGCAGAGGCAGGAAGACCTGGCAGCTTAAATAGAGCGGCATGTTTAGGAGAATGTGTTTGGTTGGTTGTAAGAGGGACGAGGTGCGTCACGTGTTAATGTATCATTGGTGCTCGAGTTGACTGCCTGAACTAGCTCGCAGGCTTCGCCCCATTTGTGATTTATGTATTTTGTCATTTCCTGTTTTATTTGGTACTTACCTCTTGTCTTTCATTTCAGGCCCTGTTTTCTTCCTCCCCTTGTGTTTTTCCCCGCCATCATCAGTGTCTGCCCCGCCCCTGATTGTTTCCACCTGTTCCCACTCACCTCATGTTTAAATAGTCCTGTCTCTCCCCTGTCCTGTGTCAGTTCGTCTTGTTTGTTTCCCTGAATGGTCGTGCCAAGCCTCAGCTCAGAAAGGATTGCTTTTCTCTCATGTCAGGTTTTGTTGTTTTGTTTATTTTATAGGCTTACGTTTTTATTAAGTCCTCTTTTTGTTTCCTTATGCGCGCCTTTTGTTATTTCCACTACCTACTCTGTTCAGAGGGATTACCTGATTTGTGAAAATAAATACACTTTTTTTGATTACATTCAAGACTTTGTCTCTGGGTCGTGCATTTGGGTTCATCAGTTTGTGTCGAGGTCTTGACAGTTTTTTCTGTAAAGCGACCTTGGGTCCCCTGAAAGGCGCTATATAAATCTAAGTTATTATTATTATTATTATCATGTCTAAGCCCTTTTCCTCCCCCAGTACCTCCCCTCCCTGTTGGAGGAGCTTGGGACCTAAGATTTACATCGACATAACTACACTGTAGCTATGTACGAATGACAAGAAAAGCCTTGAATCTTGAAAATGAATCATTTCTGGAACTTTATCATGTCTGAGCCCTTTTCCTCCCTGTTGGGGAAATACTGAATGTTCTCTTCCAATATCAGAGTCACACATGATAACAAAGGCCCTACGTAGCTGTGTACGTAGCCGGATGTATGATTACATAGAAGAAGCTCATGAGACACTGTGTTGAACATATGATAGCTATGTTCAACGATTAAACATGATGATACAGCCCCTAGGGAGATAGACATATGACTGTCATGTTTATTGCTTACGTGGGTCTCAGCTAATCTGAACTAAGCATTGAATACTGCTTTCTATTCCTCCATCTTGTGACTGTGTAACTCCCTCTCTTGGATATCAGCAAGTGAAGGACACTGTTCAGGGACTAGTTGTACCAAATGCTCTGTATGTGATGACTACTTCCATTCTTGAGAGGATCATAAATACATGGATCCTGAATATTGAAGCTCAAGCCGGTGACCAGTGATATTTTTCAAACACTCCCCCAGTAGCTCCCCTCCCTTCCTCACCCTGCTGATGGAGAAGACGAAGCCCGGCTGTCCGGAGCAGGTTCCCATGAAGCAGAAGCGCAGCTGCCAGTAGAACCAGTGCTCGCAGATGAAGGTGATGAGCGACAGAGCCATGGCGGCGCCCAGCATGTAGAAAACACCCGCCATGTTGTCGATATCCAGCTGACTGGACATCACCTCGTTCTTCTCGTGGTGGCAGATTCCCGTCAGCCAGAGCGACTCCAGCTCCTCCATCTCACCTGGAAGATAAGAGAAGATTAAGACTTGTGCAGGAGTAACAAAAAGTTACAATAAACACAGGGGTTTATCTAGAAAAATATAGTATGAGGAATACTGTGGCGCTGATCTTGTAGATGTATCAGTTCTGGCGAGAACATGACGCCCGTAAACAAGATGGCGCCTCAAACAACAACGTGATGTGGGAGCTCCGTAAAAACAGAGCTGTCTATGCCGTCTAACAGTCTATTCAACACAATTTATATAGTCTTGGAGTAATTATAATGTTTTTGACGAACAGAAATATTGTTTTCTGGCATCACTTAAAAATGATATGGGGATAATCAGCATTTTGGTATGAGGGCGCACGCTGAAAGTTACCCAGTTTAGACAAAACCCTGAAACATAATAATAATTTGTTTATTTGCCGGCTCATGGAGTCCTATTGTGAACCCGGAAATGTTGAGTACCCAAAGGTTTTATGTAAGAAATGTATAGTACGGGTCCCCAGCACATAGAAAATGCTGGATGCTAACTTCCTCATATTTGCACTACAAGCATAAATTGCATCAATTAGCATTCATTAGCATATGCAGACAATAGCTAACAAATGGCTTCACCGATTTGGACAATTTCTGAGTGGTTTTGGAGGTTATTGAGGATGTTGAATCAAACTCTGACATTTTAAAGACGAATATTGGCAGTTTTGAGTCCCCTAAAACGTTGAAATTGACCCAAAATTAATCAAAATCAGCCCACCAGATGTACAAATATGGTCCCACTTATCCAGAAAATGTTATTTTTTAAACATGTTTTTGACGTAATTGATGAAATATTTGCGATTTTTATATTGTCCATTTTATTTCTTTAAAAAAAAGTTATTTAGAGAATATTTGTTATAATGTTTTTGCCAATTTCTTTTAGAATAAAAAGAGTAAGGACAGAGGAAAGGAGGTTCAAGGAGGCGAGACAGGATCATGTCGGGAATTGAAATAAAGAAAGGGTGGGAAACTATAAAGGAGGATGTGATGTAACATCAGGATGGTGTATTTGGAGGACACGAGGGATGGAGATATGATGCAACAGAAGAAGAAGAGAGGAGGGAAGATGGCGGGCAGACGGTGGGATAAAGGAGGGGGGGGGGGCCTTGAATGTTGCAGTTCTGCAGACAGGAACAGATAAAGCCACTGGTCACATGTTAATTATCTTTTTTTGCTCTCATTCCTGCAAATAATTGAGTCTTTTTACAGCTTTAGGCGTCAATGCAAACTGTAAGGAAACAAGTCTTAATTTGTATGCCTGTGCACGTATGAGTGTGTGTGTGTGTTTGTGTGTGTGTGTGTGTGTGTGTGTGTGTGTGTGTGTGTGTGTGTGTGTGTGTGTGTGTGTTGTGTGTGTGTGTGTGTGTGTGTGTGTGTGCGCGTGTGTGTGTGTGTTGGATGCTGGTCCCTGAGCTTCTGGTCTCTTTTGTGGGTCACCTTCTGTTTCATCACGAGCTGTTCCCTATCAAAGCCGAGCGAGCAGAACAGGCGTCGCTTAATTAATCATACATTCAGCCGGTGTCGCTGCACGTCAGCTCTGACTGGCCTCTGAGCAGAGAGGAGCAACACAGCATACAGAAAAGTAAACGAGAGACACCACACACACTCTTACACACACTCTTACACACAGGCAAAAACACAGACAGTCCCACAGCAGCCACTACTTTATATCTGCTGATAAACTAGTGCTGAAAGTACATTTGAACTGCCGTACTTAACTCTTATTTTGACATAATTGGACTTTGCTAAGTATTTCCATTTAATTATACTTGATACTTCTACTCCCCTAACTGTTTTACTTTTAGACTCCCTTGCAGCCCTGGTTTTAGCACCACCTCGTGAGTCCGGTGTGTTTCTAGGCCACCAGGAGGGAGAGCGTGGTGAGGCGTGGTGGAGTGACATTGAGATCCTGAGAGGGGTGAGACAGGGAGACTGCTTCGAAACAGCGAGCAAACCCATAGTCACACACACACACTTGTTCCATGTTATTTAGTTGACACTTTTATCTGGCAGTATGACATTACATTACATGACATGTTACTTGTTAGACGCTTTTATCAAAAGCGACTTACGTACTCAATACTGTGGACAATCCCCACAGGAGCAATTTGGGGTGGGGTGTCTTGCCCAGGGACACAACGACATGCTGACTGCAGTGGGGTTTGAACCTGTGACCCCCTGATCCCAACACCAAGGCTCTATCCACTGCGCCACACGCCTCCCACACATTTATTGTATGAGAACAATAAAGACCTTTTTGAACATTAAAGGTGGGGTAGGTAAGTTTGAGAAACCAGCTCGAGATACACTTTTTGTTATATTCCATGGAATGCTCTTAACATCCCGATAGCAATGAATATCTTAAGTGCTTTGACAAAAAATCCATAAAAAAATGTCATCTGTGGAAGCCGTAGTACTGTGAAAAGCACAGTATACACGCAAATAAAAATTTGAACCTGAAATATGAGCATAATGTTTAATTTAAACCAGCTTCCACTCTGTTTTGCCCTTTCAATATCTCTTAATAAAGTATACATATTGTTCTCACACTCCACCTCGTTGCATTAACATTTTAATGAAAAAACGTCAACTTGTACAATAGTGTCCTATATTCTATATCTTTTAGTAGTAGGTTGATCTATTACAGTGTATTCTAACTTATTCTGTATATGGTATGATCAATGAATTGTTAACATGCAGCTATAACAAAACTATTTCCCAATTTGGGATCAATAAAGTATATATCATATTTAAACTAATAATTTAAGTTACATACCTTTTTGAAAAAAACAACACACACACACACACACACACACCACACACACACACACACACACACACACACACACACACACACACACACACACACACACACACACACACACACACACACACACACACACACACAGCACTGTTACTGAACTGTATCTAGGTTGATAAAAATAAACCTGTCACAAATCTTTTCACTACTCTCTCTTTATCTCTCTAACACACATATACACACACACTCACACACATATGCCCTCTTATTTCAGAAGCCTGACCCATATCCACATTTGAACATGCACACACAGTCACACACACCGAACCACACACACACGGTGTTGAAATACACCAGGAGCGATGCTGGCACCCTAACTGGGACGCACTGTAGTGGCCCCGAGGCCCCTGGGTTCAGGATGCTCCACACGCTGGACTGAGCCCAAATAAACACACACACACACACACACACACACACACACACACACACACACACACACACACACACACACACACACACACACACACACACACACACACACACACCACACACACACACACACACACACACACACACACACACACACACACACACACACACACACAAATTGGTGTATTTCTATTTAGTATGAAGTGAAATATTCTTTATTACATTTGATTTAAGAGTAAGACAAAAGTATTTCAGTTATATACTGTATATATATATACTATATTTTTGGATCCAATGGATAAAGTTGCTTTTTTTAGTCAATTTCTTTAGTTTCTAGATGTGAGAAGAAAACAATATTTGTGAAAATGTCCAATGCCCAACCCTGCGAGCTCATGTTGACTCTAAAACATTAAAACATTGACTTGTGTATGTTTTTGTAGCATGTACTACACCGGTTAGAAATGGCCGTTTGTAACACATTCCCTTCCTCTCTCCACTCGTTGTGAGACTCATTAATGCTCCGCGCTGACAGCAATGAAGTGTTTCTGAAGAAAAAGCCCCGGAGAGCTTGGACAGTCTCCCATAAAAAGGGAAGCGTGATCATAAAGCTTCGGGCCCCCAGGGTGGAGCTCCATCTCAAGTTGTATTCCTGGCTGCGCTGTCTTACCTTTTCCGTCTGCTCTGGATATATGAAAGTGGAATTACCTGAGCATTTGACTCAAAGAGACAATTAATCACCACAATCACGGTCGCAGAAAGTCCCTCAGAGGAACTGTTATTTTCTTCCCCTTCCACCAGTATTCATCACAATCAGGTGACTAAAACATCTCAAATCTTTCTGTCGGGAAGCTTGTTTTTCCCTGATTAGAGTAGGTGTTCTTAAAATAAGTATATTTTTGAATACACAGTGTTTTGTCCCTACAGGACAGCCCTGAGGCCTGATTTGCTCAAAGCACAAAGCACGATCAAGCGCCTCGAATTAGCTCTTAAATGGTCATTCTTGTTTATTATAACTTGTTTTTCTAGGTTTGGCCATTGTTTTTATTAAAGCTTATGTAACATTGTAATAACCCGTTGAGATCTGTCAATTTAGCGAGATCACAAATTATAAACAAACCAGGTTTAGCCATATTTGTTTGGAGGAAATTATGGTTGAATTGATGTTTGTTGCTAACATATAACACTGTTCAAAGACCAACTTCCTGGTTCCACTTTGACGTACTATACAGTTCTTATAGGGCTTTGACACCAACGCGATTCCCGTTGTAGCTCCGTGCTAAAGCTTTTCTGGTTCGGAACCGGTTTTTATTTTCAGCCCCCGTTTTGTTCACACCGCCCGACTGGTGCTGCCGCTGCTGCGTCATGACGTCACCGTTTACGTCGCGGTGTGGTTGCATTCTAGTCACTTTGCTCAGCACTACTGCTTGTTACTTTAACTGTTAGCTCAGGTTAATCTCGCCCCCCTCAGACGTAAGCGTGGCGTATGCAGTTCTTGCTTCTAGACCGACAATTTTTTGGTGCTTGAAACGAACCGGATTCCGGAGCTTAGAGGCGGTGTGAACAGGAAAAACAGGTGCTTTTCAGGCTCTAGCTCCGAACCGGCCGTGGAACCGCGTTGGTGTGAAAGCCCCATTAGTGTAGCTTTGCATATACTCACAATCTAATGGTGCGATGAACAGTTATTTACCGCAATTTGGGTGCAATAACTTTCAGTTTTCCCTGCAAATAAAGGGTCTATTTGCCTATGACTCGCCTTATCAGAATTTGCTATAGCAATGTTGCTATGATCTTGTTAAGTATGTAGTTGAGAACATTAGATCTCATCCATCAACCAGCTTAAGAAGTTATTCCCTAAGACCTACGAGAGCAGTTTTCACGAATACGTCTCATGAATCTGACGTAGACTCTTTTTTAAAGAATGAAGCAAAATGTTCCTATAACTGAAATGATCTGACTTTTCTTAAGCAATTTGCCAGGTTTTTGCCATACTTGTAGCTAGTTGAGTACATTGGGTCTCATTCGCCACACACTTTTAAGAAAAAATTCCCTGCAGTTTTCTAGAAGTTTAAAGACATTTCATCTATGTTTCCTTTTTTTATTTTATCTTACAGTTGCCCAACATAGGATTTATTGAGTAAATAGCGTTGGAACCAGCCTCACCGTCTCATTTATGTCATGTAGTTTCAACATGTCGGAAATCTGACGCAGACGTGTCTATGTTTGTGAATGAAGCCAAATGTTATTCTAACTGAAACAAAACAGTTGGCAAAGTCAGTAAAATAAAACCACAGTTAGTTAGTTAATAAGTCAGTAGTTTTATAAATAATGTTTTAATAGTTATATTTGTTCCTCTTTGTTTTAAAACTTAATTCCTCTAACTGCTAGCAAGAAACCCTGATTCTGACTCTTGCTTTCAGGCCACTTTAGACGAGTCATGTTCTGTTTCATCCCGTTGCGTAAATATTGCATTATCTCAGTGACTAACAGGAGCTTCTTTCACTTATTATGTCTAAAGACTCATCGCATCAGCACAGCCGTATGCATGATAGACTCTCTGCCTCCTGAGTGCATAAATAGTACAAATACTTCGTTACTGTACTTAAGTACATTTTTTCTGGTATCAGTACTCCACTATTTATTTTTCTGACGACTTCTTACATGTTGAACACAAATACCTGTACTTTCTACTTCTTACATGTTGAACACAAATACCTGTACTTTCTACTTCTTACATGTTGAACACAAATACCTGTACTTTCTACTTCTCACATTTTCCAAACAGGCTGGCTCCTTTAGTTTGAATGTGTGTTTGGTGGCGTGATCATTATTATTTAGAGTCATTGCGTGCCTATTGATTTGAACACGATCCGTGTATCCATCATTTCCTGGTCTTCTCTAAAGAAGAGGGACCAATGAAAACGTTGTCATGTTGCCGTTGTTCAGCATGGAAACATTCATTAGCTAACAATGACATTATTGTTATATTAATATAAAGGGAGGTCAGGTACTCTTTAAAACAGCTGCTAGTTATGGGTACTTTTTACTGAAGTACATTTCAAAGCCCTCTTTACTTTTACTTGAGTAAAGAAGTTTAGTCAGTACTTCTACTTTTACCAGAGTATTTTTAAACACGAGTATCTGTACTTCTACTTGAGTAAAGGATGTGTGTACTTTTGCCATCTCTAACTGCAACCCATTTAAAAAATAAAACAGCCTCACCGTCCCCAAAGAGCATCAGGATGGCCAGGTCGACGTGCCTCTTCCACAGCGACTCCTTCTGGATGGCGATGCCGTACCCCGTGGTGGCGAAGATGTATCCGCTGCCGATGGTCACCAGCTTACAGCCCTCATCCCGACCGGCCATGTAGTTCAGCACGGCCGCGTCGTAAATGAAAGCGTCTAGTTTGCTAATGAAAAACAGAGAGAGAGAGAGAGGGAGGGAGAGAAAGAGAGAGGTAGGTTACAATTAATTAGCACTGAGGAGTCACACATCGCGGCTACAACAGTCCAATTAACCTGCTAAACAGCACTAAGCTGCTGATAAGCGTAATAGACTTCCTCTGCGTTTGCCAAAGGCATGAGCTGGCACACAGACCAGGGAGAAAAGCAACGCTTGATGGAAAGTGAAGAGGGGGAGGAGAAGTTATATTGGAGGTGTTCAGAAAAAGAAATAACATGTTTTACAAGAAACTGGGAAGAAAGACGTAAAATGCTGACTTTAGCATTGATGGAAATTAGCTAATTACTAAAGCTGGCATCAATTATCTCTCCTTCTTTTGAGATGAATGTGTTTTTATGCCTGGTCCTTGTTTATAAAAATGTATAATAATAATAATTTAAAATAATAATAATAACCAAAAAGTTATAAAACATAATTATTATTTAATACATAATTGTATTATATTATTAAAAAAATTATTTCCATCACAAATATTAAATAAAATAAAATGTATTGCAATTATTTTTGCTGAAACTTTAATTGGAGAAATTATAAAAAATTCATTCATTATTATTTTCATTATCATTGGTCAATATTATTTAATGATTATGGTATGTCGAATACACTTTGTAGGCCAGGGATTCATTCAAAAGGGTATTTTAACACATACTTATCTATTAACCAAATATTGCACTTTATGCGATTTGTAAAACTTAAAGGTGGGGTAGGTAATTTTGGAGAAACCAGCTTGAGTGCGCTAGAATTTGAAAATACACAACCGGAGAAAATCTGCCACTTCCTTACAGAGCCCCTCCTCCAACACACACGAATGCGCACATGACCAATGAGGGCACGAGATAAGTTTGTGCACAGATGGAAGGCTGACAGGCAGGTAGGCCATCCAGTTATTTTAGCCGGGCCGGCTCAGATGATTGGTCGTGCTTTTTACAGTACTACGGCTTCCACAGATGATATTTTTTTATGTATTTATTGTCAAAGCATTTAATATATTCATTGCTATCGGGATGTTAAGAGCATTCCATGGAATATAACAAAAAGTGTTTCTGAAATAAATTACATACCCCACCTTTAAGATTGGAACATTCAAATGATATTATAATTCAAATTAATCAAATGTTTTCTTACGCAAACGTAAACATCATTTTTTTTTAAAGCGCAGGTTTCAACATAATTAACTCCTGACAGAAGACATTTCAATATGCCTGAAGCATTTCGGGAGGCTGTGGCTCAGTGGGTTAGTGCGCTGATCGTCGAATCAGAGGATAGCAAGTTCGAGTCCCACTGCAGTCAGCATGTCGTTGTGTCCCTGGGCAACACACTTCACCCCAAATTGCTCCACAGTATTGAATGTATGTAAGTTGCTTTGGATAAAAGCATCTAACAAGTGACATGTCATGTCATTTACCTATCAATACATCCATCTCCAAATGATAGTCACCACTTTGTTAAAGAGTGACTTTAGTTTCAAACCTTATTTAAAATCAAAATCTGCTTTTACAAATGAAACTCAAAGCCCCGCGTCAGTGTGTGGTTTCTCACCCGGCCTTCAGACTCCCCAGAGCTTCGTTGACGTTCTTCTGATGGAACTTGGTCATGTATGCGTGCATCTCCGGATAGTTGTTCCTGATGTTCCTCTCCGTGCTGCCGTTTGGGACGGTGCCGAACCGGAACGGAGGCGAGAAGTCGTTTGGACTCTGGAACTAAAGGAGGAAAACGAAGCGTGGTCAATTCAAGTTAAAGGACGACGTGAAGACCAGGGTTAGTGTTAGGGTTTTATTTGGGGTCACATTATATTAAAAGTACAGTTTTGCAAATAATATATTTTTAGAGACCCGAAAATGAAAAATTAAATACCGAACAAAATTTGTAAAATTAAATAAAAACGAAAAAGTACATAGGAGTTGTTTGAAATGACAAATATCTACACATGTACACATGTATCTAACATATAGAATGTCATTTAGCAGACAAATACATACTGTAGATGCAACAGTGCACATTTCAACCAGATTGCCAAAAAGTAGATCAAATATTCCCCCCCACCCCCACCCCAGCACTTTTATTAAAAACAAAAAAACGGAGTAAATGAGATAAGTATACACGTTCTCGTAATAGGCACAAACAAATTACAAATAAAAACATACAAAGTGTTGGGAAAATACTGAATGTACTCTTCCAATATCAGAGTCCACATGATAACAAAGGTATCCCAAGTGTAGCTGTGTACATGACAGGATGTATGATTACCTAGAAGAGCATCAGGACTGTTTTAGGCATATGATAGCTATGTGATTAACATGATGATTCAGCCTCTATGGAGATAGACATATGACAAGCATGATCATTTCTGACGTGGAGCTAATCTGAAGTAAACATTGAATACTGCTTTACAGTGGCGAGCCGTGACTTTTATACCTAGGCCCTCTGACTTTATTTTGAAGGCGAGTTCACGCTGTTGACAGGAAGTTGTTGTTGCTATGGGAACAAGAAAAGCTTCACAGCGGGCGGAACTTGTCATAAAGTCCGCGATAATAAAACCCACCCATTTAGAGGGAAGATATGATTGGTCAATTGTACTGTCAGTTGACATTACTCTCTCGTTCAGTTACTTTAGCTGGCCCTCTGTGAATTTACAGCAGGACCACCAATCAGCTCCTATCTTCATTCGATTCGAAGGATTTATTTCTTTGGAAATGTTATTTTAAATACAATTAAACCAAGTTATTTTGGTAAAACTAATGAAAAATATAACTAAAAAAATATTTAAAAAAAAAATATTAAAATATATATATATTTTTTTAATGTTTTTAAATATTATTTTGTAGAATATCTAGAGGGCCCTGACGGCTCGCCACTGCTGCTTTATATTCCTCCATCTTGTGACTGTGTAACTCCCTCTCTTGTATATCAGCATGTGAAGGACACTGTTCAGGAACTAGTTGATGCTCTGTATGTGATGACTACTTCCATTCTGGAGAGGATCACAAATACATGGATCCTGAGATTGAAGCTCAAGCCGGTGACCAGTGATATTTTTCTAACAAAATGCAAACGACAAACAAAAAGACAAAATATATCCGTGTTACCTTTTTGTCGGAGAGGCCGGTCACCTGGTCCACGTACTCCTCCTGGATCATGAAGGCGGCCAGGTTGGCAGTGTAGGAGGCGAGGAAGATGACGGCGAAGAAGGCCCACACCGACACCATGATCTTACTGGTGGTGCCTTTGGGGTTCTGCACGGGCACGGAGTTGTTGAACACGAGACCCCACAGCAGCCAGATGGCCTTACCGATGGTGAAGGACGGACCGTGAGGCTCTGAGAGAAGAAACAAAGACACGGTTTAAGAAGACGTGACGGAACAAATCGCTTTCAGACCAGAGCGAGAGAAACGCAGTTGGTCTGGTTTTACCATTGGGTCTTTAGCTGATTCTGTTTTGAACCTGATGTCTGATGTGTCTTCTTTTCCAACACTGCCATGCCACTCAATTCCAGCACCAGATGCTTTTTACGCTGCTATGGACAATCTTGCACTAATGTACATTCCCAAAGATATTGAAGTGACTGTTATTTTGTATATATTGATTGTTCTGTTTTTATCTTAATGTGTGCATAGCTATGTATAAATGTTTCTGTTATATGGGATATACATATTTTATACATATTTGTATACATTTTTGTATTCGGGATTGTGGGAAACGATATTTCGATCTCTCTGTCTGTACACACAAACTGAAAGATTGACTTTGACTTTGATGTCGTTCATTGTTAACACTTGCTCAGAGTGTGAAATGTTGACTGCTTAGCGTTGTCTCAAATCGCTCATGGCGGCTGAACCCTGAGAGGAAGTGATGATCACCACTGTTAGTTAGCTGGTTAGCTAGCTAGAGTTAGCTATTGTTAACGGTGGAAAATCATCACATCAACTAACCGCGAAAAAGGCAACAGTGGCTTATTTTCGACACAAGTATATTGGTAAGATAACCACAGAAATGTGTATAGTGCTGTGTCCTAGAGCAACAGCATTCTCATATGGTATTGCAACTTCTGTTACGTAGACAAGATGGCCGTCGTTGAGTGTGAGAAGTGTCCGCTTTCATGTCCCCATCGGGAGGGATTTGAATAACTTTGTGATCACTAAACTTCTGTTGTAGTGCCAAAATCAGGTAACAATTTTACATTTGTCAGATACTTTGCAGAACTAATAACATCCCCAGTAGCCTTAGCTTTGTTTTAGGTCCCATTTAGCACACGTTAGCATGCTAACAAGCTAAACATCATCCTGTTTGCATCTTTGTGTGCATGTTAGCATTTAGCACAGCCTCACAGAGCTGCTGGCATTGCTTCAGACTCTTGTAATTTGAAGTCACTTACATCAGAATATCACCAATGTAAGTGTTATAATAGATTTTTTGGGGATAAATTAGAGAATGTATTGTTTAATTCATCTCGGAGCTGGCAGAAGACGGTTTTGTTCCAGCCATTATTCTGTGATCAGCAGTTGGTTCATAATGTTTGTGTGGGTGTGTGTGAGCGTGAGAGAGAGAAAGAGAACGTGTGTTTGCGAGTGTGTGTGGGTGTGTATTGTTGCATGGAGCTTTTGTTAACGGACAAAAAAAAACTTCCTTTGTGAAGTTTGCAAAAGGGAAAAGTTAGTTAAATGAATCGGGCAGCGACTTTTACAAATCTGCAGTCGGGCCATTGATACTTTTTTTTCAGTTTTGAATCCTTTGAGTCCAAGACTTCGATCTGCACTCTTCATGATACCAAACTCCCAGCGCGCAACGAGCAGATAAAATGAGAAAAGAACAGCTTTAGGGAGGAGTACATCTTCTCCAGAACATGATGAAGGGTGAAAAAAAAGATAGCCATTGTCTAAATATAGCCACATCAGAGATAGAGTTGTGGGAAGACATTGATTTTTTTGTTTTTTGTTGTTTCTTATCTTTCTGGCTTGGGGGGGTGGGAGATCTAACACAAAGCTAGCCTCTTGCTGTCAGAGCCGGCGACACGTGAATTTGGGAAATATGGAAATTAATGCAAATGCGTTTCAACACACCTGTACTGTACATGATTTAAAAAGAGAGCAGCATGGAGGAGGAGGAGGAGGAGGAGGAGGAGGAGGAGGATGATGAAGTCACGGGTCAGTGAGGACGGCTGGTCTATATGTGGAGGCGGCCCGCAGTGCGATTGTGCGTCTTTGTGCACAGAAAGACAATTTGTACATCTGCAGTGGAGATGTTACAGACAGGAAGCGTTTACCTGCAGAGCTGCTGGTTTGCAGTGGTGGAAAGAGTATTCTCTACTTAATTAAGGGTCTCCTATTATACTCTTTTTCATCAATATATCACAGGTCTCAGATATATACAGAACATGTCTCTGATTGGCTGAAACACCAAACAGATCATTGCAGCATCCCATAATCCCCTCTGTTTCAGCCCTGTTTCCAAAGTGCTGATTCTCTGTCTGTTACTTTAGATGAAAATAAGGAGCCCCTCCCCACGCCCCTCTGAGAGATATTTGGTTACAAAGAACACAATGGTGCTCTAGGAGGAGATTCAGGTGATAAGGTGGGGGGGGGGGGGGTTACACAAGCCAAAACATCGTTATGACATCATTAAGTGGCCAAAATCTGATCAGCTCATTTTCAGACAGGTTTTTATGGAAATGGATCAGGACAAAAAGAGAGAGAATCTTTGTTCCTGAAACTTTCAGAGTCTCTTTCCACAGAGGGGACACATGTTGATGTAGAAGAGACATAATGTGACCTTGAAGAGCACTAATACTACACAAACACACCTCATTTCAAATCTAATCTAAGCCCTCTTTCCATGCATCAAAAGTGATAAACCTGCAGCCTCTGAGATATACATCGCCATCACGCAGAGTGCAGTGTATTTTACGCACAGCCGGTCACAGTTTACATAAGATCTGTGCCCAGTTGTAGTGCCAAAAGGGATTGACAACAGTGGACACGAGCTTGTAAAAAATGCATGTGTTAACTGAAAATGTTGTTTTTCCTCCGAAAACATTGGCAGCACAACACATGGAATAATAAGCGGCAGCGGTGTCGCAACGTCTCAACCTGTAATGAATCCATTAATCAGCATTAATCCATTAATAATTGGTTAATTAATCATATTCGCCATTAATCATAATATTATAAAAGATGAATTTACTTGGCCAGTAAACATATCTTTTGCACTCTTTGCATTAGAGCTCAGTGTGCAACTTAAACTTATTATTACAGGCCGGTTCTTAGTTTGACAATTTATACTGTAAGTAAGTAACTCTGTGCAATATATAATGTTACTCCTGTATCTTCTACCACACTACATTCTACATGTTACACTTAATTGATTTTATAAATACTGCTGCTGCTACTTTTTCTACTGGAACGTGTACTTTGTAAATTGTAATAGTTTTGAATTTAAAGGTTAAATATTATGTGCATGCCCCTCATCTAAGAGTGTTTGCTGTCTCTATCTTACTTTTGCTAGACGAAAAAAAAGCAATTCTGAGATGATGATGTCGAATGAAAGGAAACTAAATAAATCCATGTGTGCGACCGTCACCCGCCCTGGACTACCGGCCGCTCTATGATTCTCCAGAACACACAGATGGCAGTCCGCCCATCTGAAGATTAACCTTTGCTTTCCTTTGTTCCGTTTGAACAATATGCCTTGGCAGATTCACTCACTTTTTCAGCTGGCTGTCATGTAGATAATGTGGAAAGCTTTCCCTGCCTACTTCCTGCTAAACACATTTATTTCAGAGTGCTTAAAAGTCTAACTCTAAAGTACGTCACTTTTAGCACATGTTGCAAATGCATAATTTCCCTGGTAAATTCAACCTGAGCGTGCCCTCCATCTGCTGCTAAAAAAACAACCGGTGAGCGAGGGTGGAGGCAGCAGAACTGGAAGAGAGAATGTCTGCATGTATTTACATCTATATCCTCAAACATATGCATCCTCCCAACAGGTGTGTGTGTGTGTGTGTGTGTGTGTGTGTGTGTGTGTGTGTGTGTGTGTGTGTGTGTGTGTGTGTGTGTGTGTGTGTGTGTGTGTGTGTGTGTGTGTGTGTGTGTGTGTGTGTGTGTGTGTGTGTGTGTGTGTGTGTGTGTGTGTGTGTGTGTGTGTGTGTGTGTGTGTGTGTGTTGTAAACTCTCACCTCTGCCGTCAGCCAGACAGTGGTTGTAGCCCACGGGGCTGAAGTACTCGAATATAAACACAGCCATTGCTGACACCAGCAACAGCATCACGAACATCATCACCCACACATCCGCACTGAAGGGCTCTGGAGGGCGAGAGGAGGAGGGAGGAAGGGAGGGAAGGAGGGAAGGAGGGAAGGAGGGAGGAGAGAGGAGGGGAAAAGGAGGAAGAAGAAGGGGAAGAGACGATGGAGGGAGGAAGAGGGAGAAAAGGCGAGGGCGTGAGAGAACATGAAGCGAGGGAGGGAGAGGGCAAGAGAGATATGTAAATTGAGGAAGAGAAAAAGAGAAATGGAGTAGGAGTGGGAGATATGAGAGGGCAGGGAGCGAGAGGCAGAATAAATAAACAGTTAGCATCATTATCATGCACTCCAGTCTGCCTCCTCGTCACACACATGCATTAAAACTTGGCTGTAATCACTAAATCACTTTTAGTTCAACTTCCGAAGGTGTAAAAATGCACGAGGACCTAAAGCGACCCACAGGAGTACATATGGCTCTGCAGTCTGTCAGCAGCGAGACCACAGTTACATAAAACTCAAACAATGGCAAAACTAAATCCCCAAAGTTTTGCATATCTCACAAATTGCCATTAAACAAAATGATGTACGTACGTGGACGAAACAAGATTTTTTGGGGGGTATTTAATGTACAATTTGTTTTAATTCAATCCCCTTAATAATGATATTATCATTTTACATTTAGGTACTGTTTACACCTCTTTATAAGAAATTATGCTCTGTTTATTTGTTGGAAATGACTGTCTATTCTATATAAAATGTATATTTTTGTATCCATTATTGTATTTATGTTAATAATTCTCTTTATGGGAGTATGATACAACGTAATGTAAAAACATAGAGGGCTTGCAACATGTTTTCCTGTATTATAGTGGGCCTTATGGTGGAGATTTGACTGAATCTACCTGTACCTGTCCTACAAATTGAACGTTTGCACCTTTAAGTGGATAAGGCTTCAGAACCACTTAAAATAATAATAACTACACGTGCCAGAGTCACAAATCACACATCAAATATCACATTATTATATTCAAATACCTTAATATCGATATTATAACGATAATGTTTGCCAGTGGATGAATGTAGATCAAGTATTGTATTTAAAGATTAGATTATATTAGATTCCTTTTATTGTCACTACACAGAGTACAGCAAAAATTCCAAGCATTCCCGACACAAAACAGACAGTATAAGTATAATTTTGACAATACAAGCTACAAACTTTTAATATATAATATATAAAGTGACTATAAAGTGGACCTATGATACATTGAACAGTACGCTTACAAAACAATACAACATTAAAGAGGACATATTAAGCAAATTGTTCCTAGCATCTTCTCAAGACTCAGCGGTTTTTTAAATACAATGATCTCTTTAGGATAATGTTGCTACTACCCAATTATTTTTTTAATTTAATTTGAATATTTCATTTCAAGTTTGTGTAAGGTATGGCATGTCTTGTAACTATGTTGTTTAAAAGAATGAACAATTAATAAACATATTAAAAAATTATAAAAATACAATGATCTGTGCTCCTTACCTAAGAAGGCGGAGGGGGACACGGTGCCGTTGCTCCTGGAGACCATGACGCTGATGCCCGTCTCGATGAAGGGGACGGAGAAGTCGATGACCTCCGACCTCTCCTCGTTGATCGTCAAGGAGCCGACGGCCATGTGAGCGTTCTTCAACACCACCTAGAGAGGGGAAAACAGAAAGCGTCCGTTATTCAAACATCGTTCCTCCATTTAATAAAATATGTCCTTAAAGTGGAACCTTTCGTCTGGGTTAAATGTGTTGTTTGCTTTAAAAAAAATAAGATGAGTGTTATATCGTAAACCCAATGAAAAGATCTTATACATATTTAAGGGGAAACCTGGAGACTTTCAAAAGATATGGCGTGGTTTCTAAGGTTCAAGATTCAAAGGTTTTATTGTCATACGCACAAAGCTACAGTGTAGAAATGGCAATTACATTCTTCTGACCTGAGCTCCTCCAACAATGCAACATATATAATAAAATACAAAAATACAAAATACAAAGTAGTGCACAAAAGGCATATTGATATATATTGGGGGGCTGTGGCTCAGTGGTTAGTGTGCTGGACTTCTAATCAGGGGATAGCAAGTTCGAGTCCCACTGCAGTCAGCATGTCGTTGTGTCCCTGAGACCCTTCACCCCAAATTGCTCCTGTGGGGATTGTCCACAGAACTGAGTATGTACGTCGCTTTGGATAAAAGCGTCTAACAAGTAACATGTAATGTAATATTGAGATTCCACAATATAATATAAATGATATTCAATTTTGACATTTATCAAACATGTGAGGTCATTGTTTATTTTATTTAGTTTTTATTACCTTTTCACCTTTTCATTGTTTATTTTATTTAGTTTTTATTACCTTTTCATAACTAAATGTACGCACAAGAAGGGCTGTGATCAGTTCATCTCCTGTTGGAGCCACAATGCTTCTTTATCCGTTGTTCATTATTGATATTATTATGATTATTTGTTCACACCGCACACACATGTAATGGGTCACTGGTGGCCATGTGGTTGTACTTGAGTTATTGTTTTGATTTATTTCCTTTATTAAACATCGTGAAACTTAACTTTGGTACAGCCTCTATCTTGGGACGCGTCAAAGTGATGAGGGGTAAAACTAATAACATGAACTAACTAATTGGGAGTTTACTCGCTATACTCCCTTTATGAAATCCATTTTCAGGTGTGTAAAACCAAACATAAGCATAAAAATGATATATCACATCCTTCAGCTAATGTTAAGGTGATGTGCTGAAAGTCTTTCTAAATCCAGATGAGAAAATGTGAAATGGACAAAGGTGGACGTTGTTATGCAGTCCCAGCGTTTTAAATGTCATCGTGCAAACATTTTAACAAATAGCTTTTTACCATTTTATCGTGGACTCTGCTCTTATAACACTGGGTGAATGAATAAATGTGACTGGCCTCTTTCGGCAATCTAATATCAAGAGTAAATATTAGGTTACAGTGTCAGCTCTTATAATCCAGGAGCAATATCTTCTGTCTAGACGCATCGCTTTACACTGACACACACAACCCATTGTGGAAGAGCAGTTTTTCAACCGTGCAAAAACTATTGTTCAGAGTAAAAGGGAAAGCTAGCGGCCGGTGTGTTAACATGTATGAAGCTGCAGCAGCAGATTAATGCACTCTCTGCGTTAGCTGTCAAAAGGTATTTTGGGAAATGTAGGAAATCAAATTTGACAAAATAGCAGAACGGACAGGTTTGAAGGAAAGTGGATGCATTCAAAAAGCGGAGAGGTAAAGTGACCAAAGTGAAGAAACATGAACATGGAGATAGGGGGCGGAAGGAGTTCTTGGTACTGGATGGTCACTGGTTTAAATCCCAGTGGTTTAAATCTCTTGAATTTTTATTAAAGAGAACGGTGTAAAAATAAATGTTGTTTTTTTCTGTTTAAGACAAACGTGAGTGTTGTTTTCTGAAATAATTAATAGAGTGTCTTTTTGTTGTTCTTGTTTATTCTTTTGTATTGATCTGTTGGGACCAAGTTGAATTTTTTTTAAATAATTGATCAAATTTACAAATGTTAACCTCTGCTCTGAATGCCTTTATTTAATATATATTCATTGGTAATGTGAATAATGTTTTAAAAACGGTCATTCCCTCTAATATCACAATTGCATTCAGTTATTTTTTTTGCAGCCCTTATTCAAAACACGAGTATTGTTTTCTGAAATAATGAATAGAGAGTATTTGTGTTGTTCTTGTTATTCTTTTGTATTGATCTGTTGGGACCAAGTTGATTATTTTCTGTTCACTTAAAAAAAAAAATTGATACCATTTTAAATGTTAACCTCTGCTCTGAATGCCTTTATTTAATATATATTCAATGGTAATGTATATAATGTTTCAAAAAGCGGTCCTTCCCTCTCATAACACAAATCATATCACAATTGCATTCAGTTATTTTTTTTGCAGCCCTACAAAAAGGTAGAGCAGGAGGACAACGCAGGACACTCGTGATGCGTCTCGGGGAGGGAAAAGAGGGAGAAAGACAGAAAGAGGGGGGAAGAAAGTGGGTTACCACAGTGGGTCACGGCTGCTTGAAATAGCCGTCTCTCCTTCGTCTACCTGCCTCTGCTCAGGTTGTATATTTAGCCCCAGATTTATACAGCCCTACAGCACCGGGGCAAAGTGGGCCACCGTCTCACTGAGTTAATAGAGAGGGGCAGGGATGATGTATTATTGTAGGCCGAGCAGGAAGTTAGCATCACAATAGCTCCCTCAACAAAATGCTAATGAATTATTTTCATTTTTTATGACGCCGGTTTTGTTCAGCAGGATAATCTCCACATAGTTACACCACTTTATGATTTTTTGAAGCACTTGCGAGAAGTAAAAAGCTAATGTTGAGCTATAAAGGAACTACAGCACGGTCACATGACTTCACGTCAGCACCGCTAAGCTAAAGGCGGCTAATGTTGGGCTATAAAAGAACTACAGCAAGGTCACATGACTTCACGTCAGCCCCGCTAAGCTAAAGAAGGCTAATGTTGGGCTATAAAGGAACTACAGCAAGGTCACATGACATCACGTAACCACCGCTAAGCTAAAGGTGGCTATTGTTGGGCGATTGTTTGTTTGTTTGTAGCCTTTATTTAACCAGGTTAAAAAATCCCATTTTTTCAAGGGAGACCTGCTATAAAGGAACTACAGCAAGGTCACATGACTTCACGTCAGCACCGCTAAGCTAAAGGCGGCTAATGTTGGGCTATAAAGGAACTACAGCACGGTCACATGACTTCACGTCAGCACCGCTAAGCTAAAGGCGGCTAATGTTGGGCTATAAAGGAACTACAGCAAGGTCACATGACTTCACGTCACCACCGCTAAGCTAAAGGAGGCTAATGTTGGGCTATAAAGGAACTACAGCAAGGTCACATGACTTCACGTCACCACCGCTAAGCTAAAGGAGGCTAATGTTGGGCTATAAAGGAACTACAGCAAGGTCACATGACTTCACGTCACCACCGCTAAGCTAAAGGAGGCTAATGTTGGGCTGTAAAGGAACTACAGCAAGGTCACATGACTTCACGTCAGCACCGCTAAGCTAAAGAAGGCTAATGTTGGGCTATAAAGGAACTACAGCAAGGTCACATGACTTCACGTAACCACCGCTAAGCTAAAGGAGGCTAATGTTGGGCTATAAAGGAACTACAGCAAGGTCACATGACTTCACGTAACCACCGCTAAGCTAAAGGTGGCTAATGTTGGGCTATAAAGGAACTACAGCACGGTCACATGACTTCACGTCACCACCGCTAAGCTAAAGGCGGCTAATGTTGGGCTATAAAGGAACTACAGCAAGGTCACATGACTTCACGTCAGCACCGCTAAGCTAAAGAAGGCTAATGTTGGGTTATAAAGGAACTACAGCAAGGTCACATGACTTCACGTAACCACCGCTAAGCTAAAGAAGGCTAATGTTGGGCTGTAAAGGAACTACAGCAAGGTCACATGACTTCACGTCAGCACCGCTAAGCTAAAGAAGGCTAATGTTGGGCTATAAAGGAACTACAGCAAGGTCACATGACTTCACGTCACCACCGCTAAGCTAAAGAAGGCTAATGTTGGGCTATAAAGGAACTACAGCAAGGTCACATGACTTCACGTCACCACCGCTAAGCTAAAGGTGGCTATTGTTGGGCTATAAAGGAACTACAGCAAGGTCACATGACTTCACGTCACCACCGCTAAGCTAAAGAAGGCTAATGTTGGGCTATAAAGGAACTACAGCACGGTCACATGACTTCACGTCAGCACCGCTAAGCTAAAGGTGGCTAATGTTGGGCTATAAAGGAACTACAGCAAGGTCACATGACTTCACGTAACCACCGCTAAGCTAAAGGTGGCTAATGTTGGGCTATAAAGGAACTACAGCAAGGTCACATGACTTCACGTAACCACCGCTAAGCTAAAGGTGGCTAATGTTGGGCTATAAAGGAACTACAGCACAGTCACATGACTTCACGTCACCACCACTAAGCTAAAGGCTGCTAATGTTGGGTGTGATGACGTTTAGTTGTCTCATTTAGACACTTGTTAGCAACCGCGGTTTTTAACACATTTAAAAGCTTCATACATTCACCAGTGGGGCATTTTCTGTCGTATTTTCTGTCGCAGAACAAAAAATCTCTTAATCTCAGACCTTATTTCAGGCTTCTAACCAAAACAATGTAAAAAAAAACATTGACTTTGAGAGGCGTGAACATTAAGTGTTGAAAATGTTTGAGATGACAGGAAGCAAAAGTGCTAAAATGCTAACTCATTTCCAGTCTTTAGGACTCATTCCTGCACCCCTCTATAAGCTATTTGTGTCTCAGAGCTCCAGCTTCAGCGTTAAAGTGTGTGTGCATATGTGTGAGTCATAAAAGGGAAAAAGACAGCGAAAGAGAAAGCAGTGAACCTTTGTTCTCCACCTGTGAAGTGGACCTTTACAGACAGCAGAATAACAGCAGCGCTACATTATCTGCACTTTTCAAAGTGTTCTTCTGGCGTCTCTGAGTGTGTCTGTGTGTGTGATTGTGTGCATTTGTAACTTTTCTTGTCTTGTTTGTTCTATCAGCATGTAAAGTGCATGTATGTGTGTGTGTGTGTGTGTGTGTGTGTGTGTGTGTGTGTGTGTGTGTGTGTGTGTGTGTGTGTGTGTGTGTGTGTGTGTGTGTGTGTGTGTGTGTGTGGTGTGTGTGTGTGTGTGTGTGTTGCAGCCTGAATGTGTGAATGTCTCCCCGGGGATGAGAGTCCATCCAGCAGTGTACTCACTTCCTCTCTCCATCTCCCTCCTACGACTTGTTCTCTCCGTGTTATGAAAGTGACCCATGTGGGTGTTATTGAGAATGAGCGAGCGCAGATCTGTGTATCAGCTGGTGTATGTGTGTGTGTGTGTGTGTATGTGTGTGTGTGTGTGTGTGTGTGTGTGTGTGTGTGTGTGTGTGTGTGTGTGTGTGTGTGTGTGAGACTGTGCTAGCGAGGCCAAACTCATGTAATCAAGTGCATTGCCTCTAATATTTCAGATTAGGAGCATTAGGGCCGAGCACCAGTCAATGCAGCCCGAGGAATCTGACTGAGATCCAGTTATGACAAAATGTCGGCCTGCATCAAAATGTTCATTGATTTTCTTTCTTTTTTATCCATCTTTTGTCTTTCAGAGCTTTGATAAATTGTGTAAAAGGCCCTCAGTGATCTCTGAGTGATCAGGAGTGTGCATGGGCACGTCCTAGTGTGTGTGTGTGTGTGTGTCCAGATTTCGGTCCATTAAAGGTGTGAGATATACTGAAGTTTTGGCTTTGTTCCAACTGGAGAAGAACACAGGTTTTGATAGATACAGAAGATGATGGTGAAGCGTGTATGTGTGTGTTTATGTGTGTCTTTGTGTGTGTGGGAGGGAGCTAAACTGACATAACCAGTATTTTCTCTTTCTGTACATATGGAAACAGTCAGTTTTTCTGTGTATACGCCTGTTGTGTACATTTGTTAACATTTATATAAGCATTGTTTGTTTCTGCGATCGTTCGAGCAGAAGCGTCCCTTGCCTACATGGTGAGTGTGTGTGTGAGCATCAATCCAACATTTTGATCCATTAAAGGTGTGAGATGTACTGTAGTTTTGCACACAGGTCGGATTTGTTAGCTATAGCAGGTATATGGTCGAAGCGTGTGTGTGTGATAAACGGACATTCTGTATTGTCTCTCTGCACACCAAAATTAATAATTCCATCTGTTGAAATGGGCTTGCATTTACAGGGATAGTACCCTCGTCTGCATGCGTCTGTGTGTGTGTGTGTGTGTCTTGACTGAGTGTGTGTATTTGTGTGATAACAAGCATTTCCTCTTTTACACATGAAAAACCATCAGTATTTCAGTTTGTAGGCCTGCCTGTGTACATGTTTTCCTTTGTTTTTGTGACAGTCCATGCTCCAGTGTCCTTTGTCAGGCAGGTGTATGTGTTTGAATGAATGTGTGTGTGTGTGTGTGTGTGTGTGTGTGTGTGTGTGTGTGTGTGTGTGTGTGTGTGTGTGTGTGTGTGTGTGTGTGTGTGTGTGTGTGTGTGTGTGTGTGTGTGTGTGTGTTGTTGAAATCTTCCCTTATCCTAATGACCATTCATCTGTAGAGGTGAGGTGGAGACGTCACACCTGTACATGTTATAACAGGTGACCACGCTACAGACACATACAGGAAGTGGCTTTATATCATGGATCCAATATGTCAGTTTAAAATGAAATGACAAGCAAAAGTTTTACCGCATAAGAAAAGAAAAAAACATCTTGTCTGTGACTCGTGAAGGTTGTTCAAATGTCGGCGTGTCCACACACAGAGTTGTGTGTTTCCAACCTGTCACCTTTGGGCTTTTATCGATCCGTTTGCTTTTTCCTTCATTAACAAATGGCCAAAGTCACGCAGCAGAGGATCAGCTCGCTGTGGAAGAATGAGAACTGACAACGACCTTACCTCGGGAACAATGTCGATTAGAGAATGTTTTAGTTTGTTGTTGCAGCTGACTGCGTTGTGAGCACCCCAGGGCTAGGTGCTTAGCCCACATGACACAAGTGTTGAAAAAACGGTTGACCCGGAAGGGAAAGCTCATAATTCGAGGTATGAAAACACACTTCAGAGAGGAAATGAAGCCTTCAGGTAGCTCCTATAGAAGCTAAATAAAGCACATTTCACACAAGATTTAACTCTTGTTTCCCCCTTTGAGCATTTAGCGTTGTGTTCTTTGCTGTGTCCAAGTTCATCGGTGTCAAATTGTGCAATATGCAGATGATACAAACTCTATTGTTGTTGGAACTATTGATGATTGAAAGAGTGTTTTAAATCAATTACTCTACCAGATGATAGATAATAAATAATGTTGGGGCCACATTGTGATTATGTCCGATCATGGCTTGCATTGTTCATTTATACAAACCTATATTACTTGGTATATTAACGAAAAGCCATGTTTAAATGCTAACTTCTGTATATTAGGACGTTTGTATTTGAAAGCTTGCTGTCAGAAATGTGTCCGTTTATCTCCAATATGCATATTTTTTGTAATACATTATTTAATTTAGAGCCGGTTATATTGTATTCCACTATATCCACTATGTGCAAACCAAAAAATAAATGACGTTGCAAAATGTGAATTAAGAGCAACCTTCATTTGCATTTTACAACATTTGTTTGTCAACAACCAGAGGTGGGAGAAGTACTCAGATCTTGTACTTGAGTAAAAGTAGAAGTACCAGAGTGTAGGAATACTCTGTTACAAGTAAAAGTCCTGCATTCAAAATGTTACTGTAGTAAAAGTACACTATTTACCTCTGAATTGTAGTGAAGTAGAAAATATTGAAATACTCAAGTAAAGTAAAAGTATCCCAAAATGGTACTTAAGTACTTAAGTAAATGTACTTAGATACTTTACACCACTGTCAACAACCTACTAATGAGTCATATCATTTACACATTTACACAAAGCAGAAAAAACACTTTACACTGTCCGACAAATAAATCCCACACGAATACTGGTAGAGCATGATGCCAAAATAAACGTCTTCATATACAGAAGTTTACATTTAAATGTATTCAACAACATATAGAAAAAAGGCACTCCTAGTTCCCTCCTCACCTCTCCCACCATGCCGTTCCACGTGCCGTTGATCTTCTTTCCGTGCTTGCCGTTGGTCACCAGGTAAAGGTCGTAGGTGAACTTCACCTGCTTGGCGATCTTCTTCAGGATGTCGATGCAGAATCCCTTACAGCAGCGCTTTATGTAGATCCCAGAGTCCTTCGTTTCATTGCTGCAGAGACAAAAAAAATGAATTAACCCCCTTTTTTCAAAGATTCAAGATCCAAAGGTTTTATTGTCATACGCGCAAAGCTACAGTGTAGAAATGGAAATGAAATTCTTCTGACCTGAGCTCCTCCAACAATGCAACATATATAGTAAAATACAAAAATACAAAATAAAAAGTAGTGCAAAAAGTCTATATACATGTCAATAGAATATGATATGTACAAGAACAGAGTATGAAATAAAAAAATGTAAATTAAAGGAGAGGTGTCATGGCCATTTCCACTGATCATAATTCCATTGTTGAGGTATACTAAAATAGATTTATATTGTGCATTTTTCCAAACTCACATTGGTTTCTCATACAGCATCTCTGTAAACTACGTGTATTCACTGAATTTCACTCTCTGCCTTTAACGGCTCGTTGTAGCTCCAAAAGCTCCAGCCCCCACCCTCCCTGTGAGCACAGTGTGCTCTGATTGGTCGGGACGTTGTGAATCGCGCTGAGCTCCATGGAGGTGTTGTTTCCTTGTTAGCGATACACAGCGAAACACAGCCAAACACATCCTGAGCACACACAAAGTCACATCCGAAGTAAAATCAATAAGTGTGGCTTGATATTGAGTAAGAAAAAGGTTGATAAACTCTGTGAGAATGGGTCTGCAGAGAGAATTTCGCCGCGATCCCAACTGTCTGTTATCAGCCTGCAGCCAGGGAGGAGAAATCAGCAGAGCTGCCTGCTCCCTGCACACAGATGTGTGTGTGAGTAAGTCCGTGGATTGGTCAATTTGGACCAATCAGCGGGGGCTTAACGTAACGGCTCCGCGGATTGGTCCATTTCGTTCCGGGTACGGCTTGACATCATGCCGTACCCGGAAGACTCAAATGGACAATGACGTATCTCCAACGAGGCGTTTTGGGGGGGTATTTTCTGTGTTAGAGTTTTACTCGCTACAGGGTGTACTTTGAGGGTTTTGACTCTGCACACCGTTTACATGCATAAAAACCTTCATAACACACAAGGGGACGGGTAATAACCGGAAAAGCATGACACCTCTCCTTTAAGACAAAATGAAATGCAATGATTACTATTTATATCAGGGATGGGCAAATGGCGGCCCGGCGGCAAGAAGTGTAGCAAAAGTCAAGGCCGCAGATTCGTCGATGTATACTGTCTGCCACAGAGCAGATCCGTGAAGTTGTAATGACTGATTTGAGAGGTTGTAATAACCAAGTTGCAGTTGTAATGGAAAATATATTTTAAAAATATATATTTTTCTGCAAGTGAACATTTCATCACTAAGTTCATTTTTTTCTTCTGTGACTTCAAATGTGGTTCACAGATACGTGGATATTTTATACAAGTGTAAATGTATGCACACAAGCTCAGATTTCTTTTCTGCAAGTGCTCACATCAGGTTTTACACGCTCTCGCATTTTGCACCATATCTACCTTCATACAAGTTGCCCATCCCTGATTTATATGAAGTATAATTTATTTCTAAAGTAGTAGTAAAGTAGTTGTTTCATATTTTTAGGGATTATTATTATTGTTATCTCGATTTTGTATCGTGAGTAAAAATGTGTTGGACAGACTAAGAAAAATCTAAAACTACACAAAAAATCCCTGGAATATTCTTTTTAAATTTGTATTTCCCTCTTTGTATGATTATTATTTACATTAAATATAATTATTTTTCAATGTATTTGTTTATCTTTTATTAAGGATAATAGTTATCATTATTATTACTATTTTTATTATTTATTCATATATATTTTACTTGAATGTTTTCCGATGCTTTCAGATATAAGCCACATAATAAAGCATGTTTCTGTGTCTTGAATGCTTTATAATGCATGTAAAAAATGACTTTGAATCTGAAACAAAGCGCATGTATAGACAAACTGAGTCAATGACTAAAAAGTCATGAAACAACCTGAATACTGAATGAAATATGTGCTCCTGAATTGGCATGAAGTGTTAATTGTAGTCGTGATTTGGTGTCTCTGGCAGCGTCACACTCACACCGATGAAGTGTGAACTGATTCTACCTCTGGCTCTGTGGAGCTGTCGTGGGAAATCATCATCATTCACAGGAAACATTTAGGCAGTTTCATCTCTTCTGTCAAGTAATTTTGATTTAGTTCATATCTATTCATATATAAATGCATTCATATGTTCGACTTCATGCTTGTTTTGGTACTAAATTGTCCTTTTCTGGTAGTAGGTTTTGGGAAATCATCATCATTCACAGGAAACATTTAGGCAGGGTTTTCTCCGTTTCATCTCTTCTCTCAAGTATTTTTGAAATCATTGCTATATCTATTCATTTGTGAGTAGATTCATATGTTAGACGTTATGCTTATTTTGGTATTAGAATGTCCTTTTCTGGTAGGAATCATTCAAGTAGGTCTGAGGTCATTGCTGGGTCACACCAGTCAGATAACAACAGCTGTGTTTGAGTGTGAACATATTTTGTTTACAGGCAGATTTATCCTGAGTCAGTTAAATAAACACAGGCTGGAAGAGTTTGGCAGATTTGACCGTGCCATATATTATGAACACTTCTTCGTGTTCTGCTTTATATGTGTTTGTTCCCTTGGTTAAGCTTTTAAATGTAATTGTAAGTATGGCTGTCAACGTTAATGCGTTAACGCTCGCGATCAATTTGGAAACGCACACATGTTAGAAAACCTTCTTTGTCGGTGCTTTAGCGAAGTGTTTGAAAATTGTCAGGTTTTACGCCAGATCATTAAAGGTGGGGTAGGTCATTTTGGAGAAACCGGCTCGAGTGCGCTAGAATTTGAAAATACACAGCCGGAAAAAATCTGCCACTTCCTTACAGAGCCCCTCCTCCAACACACACGAACGCGCACATGACCAATGAGGGCACGAGATCTGTTTGTGCCCCGATGGAAGGCTGACAGGCAGGTAGGACATCCAGTTATTTTAGCTGGGCCGGCTAAAATGATTGGTCGTGCTTTTTACAGTATCACGGCTTCCACAGATGATATTTTTTTATGGATTTTTTGTCAAAGCACTTCAGATATTCATTGCTATCGGGATGTTAAGAGCATTCCATGGAATATAACAAGAAGTGTATCTCGAGCCGGTTTCTCAAACTTACCTACCCCACCTTTAATTAATGTTATAATAAAGTAAACAACCCTCTGATTTCTCCTAAGAGTTTGTCATGCATTTCTTCATTACAACACATCACATATATTTGTTTTATCGTGCCCTAAAACACAAGCAAATACTAGTGTTTTCAACTTGTGATTAACACGATTACATCTATTGACAACACTAGTTGTAAGACATCAGTCCCAGTGTTCATTTTGTTTTCAGATGCTCCTATAAAATAATTTACTTCACATCCACTTGACTTCTACAGTTGTCGATCTGTGGGTATCTATATGTGCTGAGGTCCCTTTTCAGAAAACTTAACAGAAACATATTTTACTTATTGACAATCCTATTCTAGTTTTTCTTTCTAAAACTTGGTGTATCTGAGATTTAACACTCACTGTTAGAGCCAGTATTTTGTTTTTATAAGAAAGGCCACCTAATTGTGACGTCTGTAGTCAACACACTATAAAAGACTACAATTCCGACGGCGCCTGCTCTAAAGTGACAGTGATGGGCAGCAACCTGCTAGAAAGAGAAATGACTACTTCCATTCTTGCAAGGATAATAAATACACGTATCCTGATATTGAAGCTCAAGCCGGTGACGAGTGATATCTTTCAAGACACTCACAGTGTTTTTAACTGTTTCCGGCAGGGCACGGTGTTCCTCATGCAGGTCCCGCTGAGCGGATCCACGTCTTCCACGATGACGAAGGGAGCTTCCTCCAGAGTCACGATGGACAGGTGGTCGTCCTCCCTGGTTGCTGCCCCGCCATACAGTTCATAACGAGGCCACACGTGGTACTTCATGGACAGGGAACCGTTCTCCCATTTACCCACCTGCAGAGAAACAAAACAAACATTCAGATTGCCTTAAAGGTCTCCTATTATACTGTTTTTCATCAATATGTTATAGGTCTCAGATATATACAAAACATGTCTCTGAAGTGTTTGGCTCCAAACACCAAACAGATCATTGCAGCATCCCATAATCCCCTCTGTTTCAGCCCTGTTTCCAAAGTGCTGATTCTCTGTCTGTTACTTCAGATGAAAATAAGGAGCCCCTCCCCACGCCCCTCTGAGAGATATTTGGTTAAAAAGAACACAATGGTGCTCTAGGAGGAGATTCAGGTGATACAGCGTGGGGGGGGGGGGGGGGGTTTGGGGGGTTACCTTGGTTGGTGATTGGCTAATGGTTACACCAGCCAAAACCACGTTTTAGTTATGACATCATAATAGTGCGCCAAATTCTGATCAGCTCCTTTTCAGAACAGGTTTGTATATAAATGGATCAGGAGCAAAAGAGAGAAGGAGAGAATCGGTGTTCCTGAAACTTTTCAGAGTCTCTTTACACAGAGGGGACACATGTGATTGTAGAAGAGACATGAAGAAGAGGGGACACAGTTTGATTTAGAGAAGAGACAGTAAGAAGAGGGGACACCTGTTGCGTAGAAGAGACCAATGAGGAAGACGGGGAAACATGTTTGATTAGAAGAGACATGAAGGAAGAGGGGAACACATGTTTGATGTAGAAAGAGACATGAAGAGAGGGGACACATGTGATTGTAGAAGAGACATGAAGCACAGAGGGGGGATCAAAGGTTGCTGATGTAGAAGAGACATGAAGAAGAGGGACACAAGTGATGTAGAAGAGACATGAAGACAGAGGGGACACATGCTGATGTAGAAGAGACATGAAGAAGAGGGGACACATGTTGATGTAGAAGAGACATGAAGAAGAGGGGACACATGTTGATGTAGCAATGAGAACACGAGGAGAAGAGGGGACACATGGTGATGTAGAAGAGACATGAAGAAGAGGGGACACATGTTGATGTAGAAGAGACATGAAGAAAGAGGGGACACATGTTGATGTAGAAGAGACATGAAGAAGAGGGGACACATGTTGATGTAGAAGAGACATGAAGAAGAGGGGACACATGTTGATGTAGAAGAGACATGAAGAAGTGGGGACACATGTTGATGTAGAAGAGACATGAAGAAGTGGGGACACATGTTGATGTAGAAGAGACATGAAGAAGTGGATTTTGCATGATAGGTGACCTTTAAAACACAGATTAGGATTTCTTTAAACACTGCATTCTGGACGTTTCACTAAGGTTAGGGTTAACTGCAATCATGGAGACTCAAAGCTAACAACTAAATACATAAAATGAATCACTGGGCAGGAATCTAATTAAAACATGAATGCAGATTAAATTCCACGCTGCAATGAGTCCAGTCCATCAAAAGCGCTGCTCTTGTAAACAATTGGCAAAAAGCAATGAGGACTTTGAATGATTGTTACGCAAAAACATCTGTTTTCTGGGTTTAGATGTGATTAGTCCATCTGTCAGTAGAACGACAACGAGGCAACAAATGAACGGGAGAATTTCATGATATGAGGATAAACATGATGGAAGAAAGTGATGGGAATAAGTGAGAGGAAAATGAAAGACGAGAGGAGAGGATTCGAGGAGAGGCCTGGGACCCAGAGTATAAAACGAGAACAAGGTTAACGGGAAGGACGAGAGTGAAATGGGGGAAAGAGCAGAATTCAGATCAAGAGGAGAGGGTGCTGAGGGAATTAGATGGAGCGATTAGACTAAGAAAATGAGCTATATATGAAGCGGCTACATTTTGCCTGAGAGAAAGAGTCAAGTGAGTGTCTGTGTGACGGAGAAAGAGAGACAGAAATGGAGCTCTTTCAGATGCAAAATGCTGGCTCTTCTGCAGGAGGGTCCAGCTGTTGGTCTGGAGAGCCCTCAGCGATTATGGCTCCGCTCGACATAAATGACTACATTTCCCTCAGATGGCGCTAACGTGAAACCAGACTTTTGTCCTGACACACAGGTTGAAAATCACGGTGTCTAAATTTGGATATTTCTCTTTGACTGCCATAACTAGCACTTTGAACACATACTGTACACATACTTGCCAACCTTGAGACCTCAGAAATCGGGAGCATTTCAAAACCACCGCGGAGTGGGGGGGGGGGGGGAGCTGTATTAGATTAACATTAACATGCTTATTGTTGTTGTAAGGGCACTGCCTTGCGGCCTGTAGCACCATCCTTTATGGAGCATATGTGAAGGACAGGAGTGAGCAGAGGGTAGAGTTGTCGATTCTTGTTCTGTTTTCTGTGACTATTTTCCCCACCCTCTCAGACTTTCAGTTGCGTGCGCTACTAAAGAGACGCGCTACCATGGAAACCAAACAATGGTGTATTAAAGTCCGAGTGGAAACAGTCCTGAGTCAATCTGATTAGTCAGAAATCGGGAGAAATGCGGGAGAAATATGACCCCGGGAGGAAAACCGGGAGAGGGCAATGAAATCGGGAGTCTCCCGCGAAAATCGGGAGGGTTGGCAAGTATGACTGTACACAGTGTGTGAATTTTGACCATTTTGTGTTTTTCCAAATTGCATAAAGCTGCTGTGCTCTTAAGGCCCGATTTCGGCCGTCGATAGATGTCTGGCCGTCGATGAGCGTCGTGTCACCCTACTCAGATTGGTGTGTCCCGCACCGTCGTGTCTTTTCGGCCGTGCCGACACCTTTTTGGCCGAAAACATTTTCATCTCAGCTGGATGCAAGAGTTTATTTTTCATCATAGCGATCTGGAATGAAGAAACCGAAGACCAACGCACACGCTATTTGTTGTTTGTTATATCACGCAGTCTGTTCTTCTTCTCTCGGTGTATCACGCAGTCTGTCTTCCGGTTGTTGCCTCTTTTGAATGACGAATACACACTACCGCCGCCTGCTGGTAAGGAGAGTTATTGCCACTCACACATGCGCAGTTCGTACGTGCTACTTGACCGTCGGCTGAAGTCTTTGCGGTGTGTTCCAGTGCGACTGTTGGCCAGACGCAGGAGACGTGAGGCGACACAACAGTCGTGTTCCATCGGGACGTGTTCTTTGGGTGTCAGTTTGGTGTGTCTGGGCCTTTAGTGGAAGTGATGATGGCCAGTGTTAGCTAGTTAGCTAGCTAGCAACAATCGTTCACGGTACCAAATCATAAAAGACTATTCAATTAACCAAAATAAATAACGATGGATTCTTTGTGACACTAGTATAGTGATACATTTCTTAAATAATTTTAAAAAACATGTGTTTGTTTATAAGTACAGTGCTGTGTTTACCGGAGTAATCATATTCATCGCCTAACTTCGGCTATGTAGCCAAGATGGCGGTCGTTTAGTGTACAAAGTGTCTAAATACACTGCCATGTCATACAATGTTAATTTTTGCGCAATGTGTGAATTTCGAGAGTATAGTGTTCTCTTAAATCGAACACAACTGCTATGCCATCACAGGAAATTATAATGGCTGCTCTTAGCTAACTAGATAGCGAGCAACAAGTGTTAGCAGACTGCTCAATTAACCCATTGCAGTTATTGGTGGCCTCTTTTCAACATGGTATGGTATGTGGTATGTTACTTAAGCAGGGAAACAACCCACATGTATAACTTTTATTTGTACAATGCTGTTTTTCCCGCCATTTCTATTATTTCCCAACCGCTCGTTGACTTTGGGAAGTGTCCAGTGTTCCTCACTCAACTTTTTCACGGGTTTGAATTTGAAAAATATTCATAACTCATATTCTCATATTCGAATACCTGAATAATTTCGAATATTCGAATATTCGATTAATCGTTCCCATCCCTAGTTTGAATACACCATCCAGGTAGCATTATCTTATATCTCACAGCTAACAACCGTTCATGTTGCCAAATCATTACAGACAGCTAAATTAGGGCTATTAAATTAAGGTAGGCTTATTTTTGACGTTACTTATATAGTGATACAAAACCATTTAGATCTCTGAGTGTGCGAAGTGTCCAGCGTTAGACACTCAACTTTTTTGACCATTATGAGTGCAGCATCCAGGTACTCATAGTGTCATTTTGCTATATTTCGCAGTGGGCCGCACTTTTGTAACGCAGAGGTACGCGATTTGAGACACAGCATACGCCTCTTACGAGCTCTTTCCTCTAGAAATGCCCACTTTAACTTTCAGAGGAAGATGTGGGTGGACATGGATCTTCAGCTAATTGGACAGTGTGTAACGGGAGAGAGGCGCCAGAGTGTAAAGTTTGCACACTCGTTAAGTATGTAAATGAGCACACACACATATATTACACTCCAGGGAACACAAACTGGCCAAGGCTGCCTGGGTTGGACAAGCTGAGGATTTGTATCTCCGAGGCACAATGCAGCCTCGTTGTATCTGGAGGGGGTAAAAAAAAGCGTGAGTAAGGGAAAGACGGATGGAAAGAAAAGGGGGGAGGGAGTCCGTGTGAAAAAGGGGTTAAAATCCGCCCGGAGGAGAGCAAACTGGACTGGACGCTCCAGAGTCTTCACACTACTTCAAAGGTGCAGAGGGTGCATGGTTGTAGGAGCTGGAACTCATTAGGATCCAAGAAAAGTGGTTCAGCTGGAAGTCAAGCTAAGAATTAAACATGAGGGATGGAGGAAAGGGGGGGAGAAGGGGAGGTGCAGACTGCAAGGGGAGAAAGGGAGAGAGGAGAGGAGCGATTCACCTTGTTCTCTGATCAGAGGACAGAATATAGATTAGAGAGGCAGAAGAAAGAGAGAAACTCAGGGAATAAAGAATAGGGCGAGTCAAAGGGGTCAGATTGCAGACACAATGGAGGAGAAGGAGGATGGTGACTTTGCAGGAGGAGCAAGTTCCTTTAAGGTTGTTGGTTTCAAAATGTACGCGTCACCAACATCTGCTTTCCACCTGTACTAAGAGAATCTATTCCATTTCTCTACCTGTACTGAAAAGGGTGCTGCTTTCACAATAACTGTGGTTACATTTCACCGTTCGTTTAACGATTTAAAGTTTGAATTGTCATTATACGTTGTCTGAGTTTTTATTTTCCTACAATGCAAGTGTTTTCTGGTCATGAAAGTCAATTTGAACATGTTGGTCGCCCTAAGAAGTCTTGATCAGAGTTGGTTGTCACACCGTCTCATGTTATTTCTGGTTCCAAAAAACCCAAAATGACGACAGACAAAATCAAAGATGGCGACTGCACAAAAAACTAGGTGACAATGGTCAAAAAACTATATAAAAATGGGCAAAAACAAAAGTAGAGAAGGTGGAAAAATCGAAGATCGCGACGTAAATAAAAAACAGATGACAATGGCCAAAAGACAAGATGAACACCACTAAAAACAAAGATGGTAATGGAATGGAGAAACATGATAACAAAAGGCCAAAAACCAAGATGACAACAGACATAAACGAGATGTACCTAAAACTCTGAATACCTAACTCAAGGCTTCAAAACCAAGGTCCATAAACCCATGGGTGACACCACGTCTACTTCTTTATATACAGTTTATAATAAAAAAATGTCATGTAGAAATACTCTGTGTGCAGCAGAGTCAAACTGAAGGATGAATACGTAAAAATACTCATTAAATGATAAGTGGTATGGTATGTTATAGCTTCCTCAAACTTTTTAAAAATGAACACACAAGCATTTTTACTACCCCAGCGCTCTGGAGCCTGAGCTGCAGAGTGTTGCTCAAAGGCACCTTCACCCAGTAGATATCATCTAATCAGAGAAGTGCCTGTAAAGCTTTCGGCTTAAAATGCTTAAAAAGTGAAAATGGGATGATAAGAGATTCAGATAGACGGACAGATACTCGAGCACCAACCAGGAACTGTACTTACAGGATACAGCTGAATATGAGTACACACTTATTCACACACACACTGCTCACCCTCTCCCACTGCCTCTCCTTGTTGAGCAGAATGATGACTAGCTTGGGGTGCATCTGGTATCCGTCCTCGCTGAATGACAGATTACGCCCCTCGAACGTCACATTCATCAGGTACCTGCAGAGGGAAACATCCAGGAAAAAGACACTCATTCAGACATGTATCATTTCCTGGAAAAACCTCCATCAGTAACCACTCACACGCAATATTTTATTACTCTAAGATTCAAAGGTTTTATGTTCATATGCACAGCAGCTACAGTAGTTATTGCCATGAAAAGTCCCAGGCTCCTTATATGCAAACAGATGAAAACATCCATATCATGACTCAGTTTCCCAAACATTAGAGTTTAATGGTACGAGAAATCCTCTGATAAGCCACTATCTTCCCAGACAAACCTGCTGACATTACATAAATGCATCATCTGCCAGGAAACAGCTTTCGGCCAATGTCTGCGCCGGCTTTTCATAAATACATGAATATACATTAGTCATCAGCTGCTCTTCAGCTAAACAGCAGTGGTGGTTTTAAGATCATAACGAGGAGAATTCATTTCAGAAAATTATCGTATGTGCAATGCCTTGTATTGTTTTTAATGCTGCTGCAAAGCAAACATTTCCCAATATGGGATCAATAAAGTACTTCTTATCTTATCTTATCTTTCCAAACATCCACGGTTCAATGTGTCCAGCCCGAAAAACAGGCTAGGGGCTGTTTTTCAGGTTTCAGGCTCGAAAATGACATGCCCAAAACAAATGACTACAACTTAACTTCTAAAAGGGTTATATGAATAATTTCTTTTATCAAAGCAAGGTTACATCTGTGAGTTGGATGTAGAAGTGTCAGAATCAATATAGATTTTTCTCAGTCAGAGTAAATTCAGATGGAACATAGCAAAAAAAGGTAAATTCTTACCTCCGCCTAAATAAAAAACATTACTTATAGTGAAAACCACCCTTGAATGGTGGGATGGTAGACTAAAAGCTTTAGGAATCCAAACTATAACATATAATAAGTACCCTGTATCAAGATTGAGGCAAAACAAGTTAAATTTGACCTTTTTAGAGAAGTTTAGCAAAAAAGGTTCCAGGCGGAATTTGGGTACATCTGGTTCCATCAGTGCCATTTGACCTTTTTCAGGTACCAGACTATAAAAACTGTGTATTACATTGAATTATCACCATAGGTATTCATTCCATCCAAAGAAAAAAAAAAGAAAAGAAAAAAAATTAATAAAAAATTAATTTTTAATTTGTGAAAAAAAAAAGGACCCGCCGACGGGGTCTTTGGGGCTTAACAGGAAAGGAATGGTACGTCATTTTGGGAAATATTTTTGCTTGCTTTTTGGCGGAGAGTTAGATGGATTTAACTCTCAGATCTGTTCATTAGATATGAAGCTAAAGCTAGCAGCTGTTAGCTTAGCACAAAGCCTTGAAACACAAGAAGCAGATAGCTTGGCTTCAACTGTAGGAAAACCCACCACTAAATCTCCCAAACTGAAACAGTCTACCCTTTTTGTTTTATTTGTATAAGTGTAAAAACGTTTGGCTCACTTTTTACTGGGACTTGTGGTGAAATATTTGTTTGTCGTTAGCAGTTAGCAACTAGCTTAGATATGAAGAAGAAACACTGACTGGTTTCTACAGTTTTTGTTGAGACAATACAAAATATATATAGTAAAGTGAGCATTATACGTTCTTATTGGGATCTTTCTTTTACAGTTAAACAGAGCTAGGATAGCCATCGTTCCACTATATACATATACATACCATTTGTATGAGAGAAGGATTTGCTTATCTTTGTTATGGTATTTGTTTTCTTGCCCTCAAAGATCTACATTTGGAGTGTAAAGAAAATATCAAAAAAGATAAATTCACAAATTTGAGTCCCATTGACAAATCCCAAAGCGAGTTCTAGAGGGCGTTAAAATAATAATAACACGGCAGCTTCTCAGATCACTGTGTGTGTGTGTGTGTGTGTGTGTGTGTGTGTGTGTGTGTGTGTGTGTGTGTGTGTGTGTGTGTGTGTGTGAGTGTGTGTGTGTGTGTGCAAGCCAGTCTCACGGCATTTCGTGTTATAGTCACAACATTTAATCTATTGATTTGTGTTCACTAACACGATTTTCCCCTTTTTTTCGTGTCACACAGAATGATTTGAAAAGCAATGTATTTCTATTGGTAGTGTGTTTCGTGCCTGCAACACGTCTTTTTGTCCGGTCGGGTCTTGGAAGACTGGAAGCTGTGTGGTTCATAAAAACATGTTCTTACTCAATATTCAGGTGTAACTAAAGTCTGCTTTAAGGGTTATATATATTTCACATCATTAATCAGAATCTGCAAAGTAACTAAAATAAATGTTTTGGAAAGTCTGCCGTGGGTTTCGTTCCATTTCAAAGAGCTGTTTGACGCTCGGCGTAACCTTGGCGCACTGCCACTCCAACATCCAATCCCAGAGCTTGAAGATTAATCACGGGGTTTGTCAAGCAACGAGACTGTAGTCCCAAACGATAGCTGAGGATTATGGGTAGTGTAGTGTCTTCGGCCATCCTAAACTCCGAAATGTTTTTGGGATTTCATATCGCATTAACACCATATCCCAACGTGCATTGCGGCTAAAACATCCAATCACCGAGCTTAAACCATAGCTGAGGATCTTGGGTACTCAGTTTAGTGGGTGTGTATGGCAATGATGCTCGAAATGTTCCTTATAGGCCTATGTCTGTTTCCGGTTATTTTATTTTGAAATTCAGTTCCTGAGGAACGGCAAAAAAGCCAGAGATTATAGAATTAAACAAATAAATAAAAACAAGGATAATTGTGTGTTATTGTTGAGTAAATAACAGTGTGTTATTTAGAAAAGAATAACAAATTAGAAGGAAAAAAATATTTAAAAAATACAGATTTCAGTATTCTGAGGCTCTGAGCCCCAGTTTTTTTCCTCGTGGACGGCAAAAGAAGTCCGACATTATACGATTTAAAATAAAAACAATAATCGTGGCTTGATATTGAGTAAGAACATGTTTTCTATGAACCACACAGCTTCCAGTCTTCCAAGACCCGACCGGACAAAAAGACGTGTTGCAGGCACGAAACACACTACCAATAGAAATACATTGCTTTTAAAATCGTTCTGTGTGACACGAAAAAAAGGGGGAAATCGTGTTAGTGAACACGAATCAATAGATTAAATGTCGTGACTATAACACGAAATGCCGTGAGACTGGGTTGGTGTGTGTGTGTCTGCTTCCGTTTGTGTGGAGGAGAAAGAGAAAGCGACAGAGAGAAAGCAGCATTGTTTCTGTCAGGTAAAATCATTTCACCTTTCTTCAACTAAACACAGCAAACAGCAGACAAACACACGCACACACACACACACACACACACACACACACACACACACACACACACACACACACACACACACACACACACAAGACACGGACACACAAAGACACGGACACACAAAGACACGGACACACAAAGACACACACACACCACTGTATCCTCTTGCAGTGATTATGGTGAATGTGCGTGGGAGTGTGTAAGTGTGTGTATATGAGAACAGGAATGTTTAAGTCAGGTGAAGTCAATTCACTTCACTGTCATCCCACACACACACACACAGACACACACACACACACACACACACACACCACACACCACACACACACACACACACACACACACACACACACACACACACACACACACACACACACACACACACACACACACACACACACTTTACTCTCTCTCCTCTTCCCTCCCTCTGACTGTTTCCATGGAAACACTCTGCCTCATCATAACCCTGCACACCATATATATATATCTATGTATGTAGATGAATATATATATAAATAATAATAAAAAAGGCGTCTAAAGAACGGGACAGACATAAGATCACATGCATGTCCAGCAGAATCATTTTGTCTTGATCAGATCCTCTTAAACCATCCTCAGATGGTCACAATGATCAATCCCTCCAATATGGTGAATCATATCACAATAGCAGTGGGAAATAATGGCAATTAGTTGTTCTTGTAGCCCTAATCATTAAGTGTTGCCTTTAACCCAGTCTGCCAGTTGTGAATCTAATTTAAATGTAATTGTTTTTTGGGGTTTTAGTTTATCTAATTAAAATTGAATCTCTTTTTTAATATAGTAGAGACACAAGATACAAATAAAGAACTGGAAAGTATGATGAGAGTAAATGTCATACAACAAATAAACAAACATAATTATATAAAAAAGAACATTTCAATTTATTTTGAAGGAAAGAAATAGGACATCATCTTCTCAAACAAGACAGAATAAATAAATAATAATAATAATAGGTCTGCAGTTTGGTATGTATCCTGTGTACTCCATCAATTGTTATCTTTTCTGATTTTATATAAAGCGACTTTGAGCATTAGGAAAATCGCTATAAAAATCCATTGTATTATTATTATTATTATTATTATAATGTAGCAACTTCAGTATTTACTGTAACCACATTCCTGATTCTACTTCCTGTATTAAATATTGATGTTTCCAACAGGCTGTGTTGAGCGTCCGGCTGACCGTCCCGTAGAGATCTGGCTCTGATTCAAAGTGCACAGAATCTGCTGCATAAATCATGAGCCATTTGCAAAATGACATGACGCTGCTAACACCCCCCCCCCCAAACGCACTGAGCCATTGTTACGTGCAACAATGTGATGCCCCTATGTGTGTGTGTGTGTGTGTGTGTGTGTGTGTATATGTATGTGTGTGTTCCTGTATCCTGCACACGTTGTAACGGAGCGAAACACAAGCATATGTGTGTTGCCATGGCACCCACAACCACTGTGACATCCAAGCCAATCTGCTGGGTTGCTATGGAGACGGTAATCTCGCAGAGGGTGCAAGAGAGAGAGAGAGAGAGGGGGGGGGGGGGGGGGGGGGGGGGGTGGGTGATGGCATGTTACTATTACATTGCATCGCTCTGTTTTCTAGTCAAACTGGACACACATTTACCTGGGACATGTCTCCATGCTTTAATGTTCAAAAAGCTCTTTATTTCTCTCATACTGCCTGTGCTGCAGCACCTCTTTTCACCCTCTGTCTGAAACCAGAGCCCAGTCTGCTCTGATTGGT